CCCCCCCCCCCCCCCCCCCCCCCCCCCCCCCCCCCCCCCCCCCCCCCCCCCCCCCCCCCCCCCCCCCCCCCCCCCCCCCCCCCCCCCCCCCCCACACCCCCCCCCCCCCCCCCCCCCCCCCCACCCCCCCCCCCCGCGCCCCCCCCCCCCCCCCCCCCCAATCAGGTGCCTTCAAAGTTTGTAACTATCATTATGTGATTTCTATTTTATCATGAACTAATACGTTAATATTATTACCTAACGTACATGGCTTGAATGTTATCACAAAACGGGACTAAACAGTAGGGAAATAGCTTCTTTGTTCCTTAAAAAACGCGAATCTAACCATGGGACTCTACGGCTAAATATAATACTTAGATAATGAAGGCGTCGTCCTTCGTTCTAAATATTTATCTACATAAAATCCCAGTAGTTACTATGTCCTAACAGAAGGAATACATGGAGGAATTCGAGAGGGAATCTCGTAGAAGCCAAATGCTTCCTAAGATCAAGTCCTCTAACAATGATCGTTGTCAAGACCCACGAGAATATTCCAATTCTCGTCATTGAACTTTTGACCCCTTACACGGTTAGAAGCATCGTGGGTCTGGCAAGCATCCAGGATATCTTGAGCATACAGACTCCAAAGCGAGCAGTCGATGAAAATATCGTGATCGTTATCGTTGCACCAGGAGATCGCTGACTCATAGCTGCAACTTACTCGGGTACATACCCGAGGGCCAGGACCCACATGACATCTCCCCTGGATGCCTTTCAAGTACTCGATTCCCTGTTCGATCCTGAAGACTTGAGCCCACCAGATATTATTTGGGTCGCAGGTTAGGTGCGTATTGTCACGCCGGACCGGCATCGCGGAATTGGTATCGTTCTTCCTATTCCAGGAGAAATCGGGATTCAGTTCACGAATCTGCGCTTCAATATTCTGCATGCTGGAACCGGTTATTGAAACATCAGAACCGTCTTCGAAGACTTTTCCAACCCAAGTGAGATTAACCATCGAATAGCCACTTGCTATCCCCTGGTGATGAGGGAGGACTAGAGGGTCAGCGTGAACCACAGCGGCTACCAATGAGATAGCCGACACAAAAATACTGGTGAGCTGCATTTTGTTAGTTGGTTCAATGAGAGAATCAGCGATTTAACCTAGGGAATAGTCAAAAAGCTGTTGTAAAATGTGTTTGAATTGTCGAACAGTCCCAATGTTAGATTGGATACCTAAGGTATTCCAGGCACGGATGAAGAAGAGATTAACTGACTATGGAAGTTTCCTCTAGGCATATATATAAGAATGAGAGGAAAATTGATCACAATGACTATGTTAAATTTGTATATGTTCATGGATCGTGTTGCAGGACATGATTCATAGCTGTGAACAGCATCAATGGAGAAAAGGATATTACAGTAGCTGTCATATAAGTCCATAAGCACAATATCTTTGTTTGGTGCTAAGATTGAAATACCACTACTTGCAAGATTAAACTGTAATTCCTTGTAACGAATCTCTCACGTTATCTTCGATAACATCAGTAACAGGTATCTAAAGTAGGAGGTAGTGTTGGTACCGGCTTTGCTTTGTTGGACCAAAACGATGATCTGCCTTAAGTCGACGCACCATTACAGGTAAGGTTACCTTAGTGAAGCCCACTGCTTTTCCTAAGACAAAACCTTTAAGATGAAGTAATAGTTTTCATCAAATACATTACGAACCTAAAGAGAGACTTTAAAAAGGCGATGATGCTCTAGGGAACCCAGAATATCAAAAGCCTTACAGCTTGTTGCTTGGCCTGAAAGAGGTCCTGACTCCTGATCGGGACGAAATAAAAGTGAATATCATGGAGATACTCACGATCTTTGAGGGCTAGGTATAGGTATGTACTGCAACTCTGAAAAGGTACCTTAGAGGTACCTAATCAGATATCTATACTAGTAACTTTACAAATAAAATTCATGTTCCTGTTATGTAGTCCTGTCATAATATCGGCGTAATTGTAGCTCCCCAATATGTAGCTACCAAGAGCAAAGTTTAAGAATTATTAAGTAATCTTCTAGAAGAATACCTAATAACATAACTTGGACTGGTTATTTAGCAACACAAGAAGTTGAGACTTTGGCAATAATGATGCATTGTATGAGGGTTAAACAATATTTCTAAGGTTATTGTTTATTGTTGAGATGTTTAGGAGAGACTAGTTAAGTTCCATGAAAAGATTGTTACAGATATAGTCTAAGAGAACATCATTGAACTAAATAATAGACCTATATAATCTCCTGATGGGACGGTTTTAGCAACCAAGTGCCCCCTTAAAATACTTCACTCTAGCAATACCTGCCGTCGAAGTTTGTTGAGCACTTTTACTTACACTCTGTCTGAGGCTTTGTCAGGTAGTGCTCTTGTCGTTTTGTCGTTTTGTGGCTTGCTACCTACCTAGGTACCTTTATATGCTTCTTCCGTCCACCTGCCGGCTTTAAAGAAAAAGAGTCATGTTCGATACGCCTCCAACTAAATCGCTCTTGCATAACTGGTCCAGTGTAATAACGCTCGTATTCGTAGACCTCGATACGAGTATTTACGATAATTTGAGCAGGCTGGTCGAAGAGCGGACAGCCGCTACAAATACCATAATTCATACTGTTGAACAGCGGGTTTCCCAGCCTACAGCCATAACTACATGAGGATGGATTTTCACATGATTGGCCTTGTTGAGGTTGGGGAATTTCAATGTTCCATAGATACGGATAAGACAAGGCGACCATCAATGGTACAGTTACCGCAACGACGCCCAGAAGCTGCATGTTGTAAGTGAAAATCATGGTTTCCAGCAGCGAAATGGGTATTTAATAGTCGAAGAAAAAATTGTCAGAACCGTTCAAAATGCGATTATGTGATTGTACCTAAGTACTGGGGCGAAAAAAAATATCGTCAATATAAAAATGATATACAGAAGGCCGTTACAGAGTTATAAATTGCGCAATAAGATATTGTTTCCTATGATTGTTCAGCATACTTAATATTAGACAACAATTTCACCTATATGAACATGCAGGTTGACGATATCTTTGGCCACAGATCACTACCATTGTGTGAAATTTATATGTTACCTATATCTCCCTTTATCATAATGAATACCCAAGGGACCTGATGTAATGCCCTTAGATATTATCAATAATATTGCCATCAATATTATGGTATTGTTCATAAGTAGGCCTTGCGAAGGTGGACTAGCTTCACGTAACAGGAAAGATGGTTACAAGCACCAGAATACAAGTTTCCACGCCCGTTAAACTTGTATTTGCCGCTTCTATGTAACAGCCTCTCTACTTGCGTACCATTGATATAGTAGGCATGCTTTATCTTAGAAAAGCTGGAAGATTGGGGATCCAAATATAGTATTTTACGTATTATTACAAGCAGCTAAAGAAACGTAGAGTTAGATTACGAACCGAAGTAGAATTGTGTCAGGTCGAAGTCAAACTCCGAATTTTAAGTTCCTATAGCTGGTTAAGACGATATCATGCAAACCATATCTCTAACCTATCATGGTAGTCTGTCTTAGCCTAAGTCGCTCGTGCGCTCTTTGGAGGGACTAGGATCCGCTGGATTCGGTCTCGACTTCGATGATAGGCCGGCCGTTGGAGACACAACGCGACAGACTGGGCCTCTCTTGAACGGGGTTGGAACAAGCATCGAGCAAGTATCCCATAGGATAACATAATAACTTGTAACTTGGAGAATGTGGCTGAGATCTGTTTAAGATTCACCAGACCTTTGGCTAATATGTAGAGAAGCATTACCAACGAAGCTTGCACCAGGTGGGGAAAGTTAACGACCATTTGGCGGGGGAAGTCCTTGACGGATTTGGCCGTCTCTCGAGTTTTCATGGAGCATGCCTACCTAACCTAACCTAAATCCCGAATTTGTGCACACTTGGTGGAGAAGCTCAAAACACGACATGCAATGATGAAAGATAATAGATTGGGAAAGTGACATTGACATAGCGTTGACAATCTACCTATCTAAGGTAAGCTGGCAGGCTGGATAGGTACGTGGACGTGTAGGTACTTGAAGAGGTACAATACCAAAGGGAATATGATACTTCCAAGCAGTATTGCACATGGTGGTGGTGCTGTAACCGATTTTCCCTCATGCTGTCCGTTTTCCCTGTTGCCCTACCGTTCAGCCCGTTCTCAGAAGGGCCCATCTGCCCATCTCCCACCCTTGCTCGTTCCCTTGTGACTGTTTATCTTCTCTCTTCTCCAGATTCTCCCATCGCCCTCTTCTTCTTTTCTATTCCACTAATGTATACTTTATTTCCCATTTGCATTATATGCTGTCTCTCTGAGTTGCGCAGTAATCGTTGTTTTCCTAGCGACTGAGTTGCTTCTTCCCACTTACATGGACTTGCCCTACCTAAAACGGTATCGGTGCGGTTTAAACAAACCGTACATGTGTACCGTGGATGGGAATTCTTAACATAAAGGAAAATTACCAGCTTTGTCGATGCAATAAAAATCAGGCTCTACGCGATATCGAAGGATGATCTAGGTCTACGAAGCTAGCTTCTATCGTCTTGCTCACTTTATGAAGAAGAATTTGCTGAGGGTTCAAGTTGAGTGCACAGCGTATCTACCAGCGTTGCGCAAAACGCCCCCCTCCCCGTCACCCAAGCTAACAATGGAATTTCGACGGGGAAGGTCTCCGCCATAATTATAATTACAAGGGTCAGTTCATCAATTTATTTGACATTCAATGGCGAGAACCTCAATTTGGCTTTACGAAGCCTGATAGAGATTCATATAAATCAACGACGGTTTCCTCTTATGTGGGTTTACACCGATTTCCTGCTTTATTCATTTGGGATCAATTTTCTATAACTACACCGAAACCGCTACGACTTGAGACCCAGCGTTGATTCAAACCGATACATCCTTTTTGGGCCTATGTAAGATGCATTTACTGACTTACATCGACAGCGCTCGCTTGCGATTTTCAATGTCTATGCAACGCAGGGAGATTTTCGTGTTGTCACTCGCAACATGAAGCACCTGAAGCTATAGCACCAGTCAATTCCTAAAAGATACCAGCTCTTTGAGGATGAGCGATAGGATGAAGAGGGGCTTGAAAAGGAGGTCTCTCAGTTGACAACTGATCGGCACCCTTGCGTACATTTATTTGTACTTTCATCATCTGATCAGCATCTGGGGAGCACCACATTTTATTGTGTATCCTTGCAGCCTATAACATTGATTCACTGGGAGATTTCCGTCGTCTTATATGAAGTCATTAGAAGCGGACCACTAGCGGGCAGTCCCAAGTATGCATCGGCACAGGGTCGGATATCAGCATGCATATGCTATGCAGCATGTATACCTGATACCTACTGGCCTAGGCTACATAGATATACAGCATCAAGCAGCGTTGCGGGCCGACAGCCATGTTTGAGTATCTATTGACATGGACTTCACGATATGAGATCCTCAAAGATCCAAGTCGCCATGGAAATTCGAGCTCTGAATTTGGAATATCTCATCTACGAGTTGCCAGGCCCCCCGATGATGATACGAATATTTGGAGAGCCTATTAGGACACGGTCGAAATCAAACTTCTGGCATAAGGAGGATGCCCAACTAGAAGACTGAAAGGCGAAGGGTCTCTTAACACACGGTTTTTTTTCTTGGATACTGGGCTCCTACAAAATAGAATGAGTCCAGACGACCACATCCTACGACCACCTCCTGCGTCCGGCAAATAACTACCCCTTATCACCCGCCTGCGTAGACATGCACCTAGTTTCTAGCCGTGGGCGAGATGCGGTAAGCTTCCTTAGGTTGAGATTCTGGTGGGAGATGAGATGGATTGACTGAATGCCAGCCTTGCAGTTTTGATCAATTCTGGTAGGTTAACCCTTTTCGATTTCTTAATGATGAGCACCTAACATGATTTATTTTTCCTACTTTTTCTTTCTTGTCTTTTTTCTTTTTTCTTTTTCCTTTTTCCTTTTTCCTTATTATATTCCCTTTTTCGCATGCTCGAATTTCCGTACGGAGCTCGCCATTTCCTGCGGTGTTGGGATGAAATACTTCATCGGACCAACTGTAAGAATGTCTAAGTTCCCGGGGCTTTCCTGTTTTGATTTTATCGGATAATATTCGGTCTATCGGTAAGGTTGTTTTTATCATCTAACTTTAGGTAGGTACCTCTTGTAAGTACATCTTATCTACCTAGGTACCTACCTTTGGATCCTTTGTTATCCCACCAATCCCACCAATGGTGTGAACCTGGCGGAGTAATGGAGTACAACTTTAGTGTGCGACTCTCGGGCCAATCAACTATCTTTGCTTTCCTGCAGGCGACACAGCTCCTGCGTTTCCTTTCACCACTAAGCCGCCTCCTTTTTTTAATTTTTATTTTTTTTCCCTCCCTCTTCCCTGACACCCTAATAGCCTGAACGTTTCTAATCGCGCATAGACGCATGATTTTCCCATCGCTCCCCCTCTAACCCTGTATAGGACTAGCGCAAGTGGATCAAGTAGTACTACCCGCTCTTTACTTGCCTTGGATAGAACTTAGAAGGTGGTGCCAGCAGTCAGAAAAATTTCTTGACCTACCCAGACCTTCAATCCCATCCCCCAGCTCCCGGCTCACGGCTCACGGCTCACACACACCCAAACAATCCCCCCCCAAGAGGCCAAAAGTCCAGCCAGCACTCTTAGCTCAGCGCAGACGGGACCGGACCAACTCGCCAAAAAAACAAGTGCCTCTTCCTTACCTACTTACCGCCCTTCCATCGCTTCGCGCCTACGCCCAGCAAACAACACGCACGGAGAGACGAGAAGAAAAAAAAAAAGCGTGTGATTGCGGTGTCGTCACTCACCACCATTAGTTTTAGCTTAGGTAGGTAAAACCTTGTTATCCGCTTCTTGTCTCTTGTTATTTTTATTATTATCTCCTCTAGCCTACCAAGCCTCCTTACCTCTAGGTAGGTATCTATCCCGTCCATCCTAACCCACTGGTTCCCCGTTCGAGCGGTATTCGGGTGTTCCGTATGTATCTGTGTCCAAATATATTGAACAAACACTACTTCTAGAAAAACCAAGGAAAAAAAGGTATAACCTTATCCCCGTCACAACTTCGGTCGGCACCCTTCAAGTGTCGGATGGTGTTGATGCGCAGTGCCCGGCTGCTGTCACTGTCACTAGCAACACATAGTAGCGATAACAGTGACAAGGTGGGCAACTGACGCACCTGCCACGACCGTACATACAACCCCGTCCGTCAATCCCGTATTATCACTACTATACCTAGAACCAACCTCCGTACTCAGGTTCGGATCTGCCAATTGCGAAGTGGGCGCCGGCATTTCACCGGTGGACATCTCTCTCGCTACTTTTTGCCGTTGATGTCCTATTCCCTTTTTCATTCCTATTACCGTCCCCGGACCCCATTCACGTACATATTTGTTTTTAGCCCAAGGCTGCTGCTATCGCAATCACAATCGCTATCGCTATCGCTTCCCCTTCTATTTTCGTAAGGCGTATGGAGCACTGTATGTACAGTCTACATATACTGTATTTACATACCTGCGCATGTATTTATGGGGAGTACTTATCAATGCTGTAAAGCTAGGCGTTCTACCTCCTATATACGCTACCTCTTAGGTACAATACAGCATAGCATAGCGCTGCATTTAGGGATCTCCCCTCACAAATTCAGACAGCATTGCACTGACAGCAGTAGCTGCTGCTGCAACTTGCAGCACTGGGGACTACCTCTGCTGGAGTGTCTTTTCCAAGCCAACCTATCCCCCCCCAACCACCGAAAACCTGCGACCATACCAACTTATTTTCCCCGATCGCACCGTGGATGTTCACCCCCAAAATTCCTTAATCGACTCGCGACGCGACTTTTTTTCCTCTCTTATTCCATCGCGACACTTGTCGCCCGTCACACTATCATTTACAATTCATCGCTGTTCCATCTCAATGCATTAGTCACCATCTATTTTAACCACTAACTTTATTTAAATTATAGTCAGATGGGTTCCCATTCGCGATTACATCCGTCATGAGCTCCTGGATTAACGAGGCCGCTGCCGTCCAAAACCACAATGGCAACGGCTTCCCACACATGAACGACCCGAATAACATGGGTGTAGGCGGAGGAATCGGCGCTGGTCCGGGTGGCATGATGGATCCCTCGGCCTTTATGGCAAATGCTGCCCAGTTCAACCACGTTGCTGCTGGCCAGTTTAACCCTCAACAGATGGCTGCTGCTATGCAGAATGGCCCTATGCGCAATGCCTCGCCTTCCTTCTCGAATCCCGCATATCAAACTAACCCAGTCATCCCCTCGAAACGACCTCGACCTAGAGAAGATAGCATTGGCGCGTCTCCGCGACAGAATCCCGGCATGCTGCCGACATCGCGCGCAGACACGCCTCAACAATCACCTTTTCCGGGCTTCCAGCCAAATGCGATGCAGCCGCAAAATCATAATCAACCGCAACATTATCCCCATTTACAACCCAATGGCTCGACGAACGCGTCTCCATCACCCGTAATGGCTGGCAACCAGCTGCGTCCGGGAAGCGTGCCGCAACGCGTCAATACCGCGTCGCCGCATCCTTTCTCCCCAGCTTCTCAGCAATTTGGTCCTCAAGCATCGCCAGTTCCATCAGATCATAGCGGCACACCTCAGCCGGGCATGTTCATGAACCCGCAGAATTTCCCGCAAGGTTTCAATCCGGGCTATACACCCGGCGCGTCGCCTGCCAGGCCACCCTCGGCCCAGAACCCCATGGCGCAACACATGATGCCTCCGTCTATGGGACAAATGCCACAACAGATGCCTCAGATGCACCCGAGCCAGATGGTCACGCAACAAATGCAGCAGATGCAACAAATGCAAGCGGCGCAAGGACGTGGCGCGATGGACCAGCAGAAGATGCTATACCACATGCGTCTGCAACAACAGCTTCAGCAGGGCGGTATGCCGATGGCAGCGCAGATGCAGGCCCAGAATATGGCTCAAGGCCGAGGCATGATTCCTAAGCAAGGAATGCCAATGCAGAACGGCCAGATGCCACCTGGTGTTATGCATGCTCAGCAGGCTTCGCAAATACAACGAGCTAATAACCCGGAAGCGTTCGTGAAAAATCTGACGGCGTTTATGAATATGAGACAACTTCCCTTGGATACAAATCCCGTTATTGAAGGCCGACCCTTACATCTACTTCAACTGTTCCAGAATGTTTCCAAATATGGCGGATATAGGAACGTGACCGGCCGCAACCTTTGGACGCAGGTCGCCGCGTCGGTTGGCCTTAATCCACAACAAATCCCTTCGGCCCCCGCCCAAATACGAGGCATATATGAACAAAACCTGTTAAAGTTCGAGGAGTTCTGGACAATGCAGCAAAGAAGTCAGCATATTAAGCAGCAAGTAGGCGGATCAGCGGGTATGCCTGGCATGCCGGGTCAAGGCGTACCGCAGAGAATGGGCCAGCTACCTCATGGACAGCCCATGCAGACTGGACAAGTCCCGCAGATGCAACAACCACATGTACAAACACCTATTAAACAGATGCCACCTGCAATGCAGCAGGCTAGCGTCAACGGGTTTTCGACACCACAACAGCCACGGATAAATCAGCAGCAACCCAATGCAAACCAAGCACACGTAAGAAATAGTATATCACGAAACATGGATGCCAGGCAGCCGAGCGGTGATTTTTCTGTTCAGTCTCCCGCATCAACCGGTAAGAATGGGAGTATATCGGTACAACCCATAGCTCAGCAGGTGGATAGTGCACATACGAATGGTACCACGGCCAGCTTGCCTTTTCCAGGACCTTTCGCAACAGATCAAAACGAATACGCACCCTGTTCTCGGGAGTTACTGCCGGGCTTGTATGGCGGCTTTGATCTTGAGTCGATACGAAAATTAGGGAACGATTTGGAAAAATGGAGGCCAGATGTTCCGCAACCTCAGGAGCTTGGCAATATTGATCTCCACGCTCTTACGAAAAGTCTACAATGTGGTATACATGGAGAGGTACGATTAGCTCTCGATGTTCTAGGCTCCGTGTCGCGCGCTGCGGAGTATATACCAAACCTGTCGATCGACTTGAGAGCTTGCGACGATTTGGTGGAATGTCTCATAGATTGTGCAGAAGAACAAGTCGACCTCCTCGCAGACAAGGCAGATCCAGTGTCAGATGAGATCGACCTGACGTCCTACGAGGATGTCATGCGGAGCTGCCGCCTCGAAGCCATCAGCCTTCGCAAGCCTCATGTGTTGGGAGACGCTGAATACGAGCTTGAACACGCTGCTGATCGTCTGCTGGCAATAACTACCATACTACGGAACTTTTCCTTCATAGAAGCGAACCAAGCAATCCTTGCTGACGAAATTGTAGTCAAGTTCCTTTGCAGTACGATACGATCTTTAGGTACGCATGATAACTTGCTGCGAGCCCCAAGGAATACGCTCGATTTCATGAAAGATGTTATAGTTTTGCTGTCGAATATTGCCAGCTCGGTTGAGATACCTGGTCGCGAACAGGCACTTTGTCTACTCCAATTTCTTCTTGCCTTCGCACCGTCCCCAGGCCCTTCCCTAACGACAGAGCGGGTGGTCTTTTCGCCATATGAGCCTTCACTTCACCCTTACCTGCCACACGCAGTAGACTCATTAGCTAAACTTTTGGCGCGCGACGAACCGAATAGAACGCACTATAAGATTATCTTCGCATCTGACGCCGCCGCCTCGCCTCCTTATGAGCTTCTCACGCGGACTTTCGGCCTAGCGGTCTGCCCCGTTCCAGACCAAAACAAGGAAAGCCGTCCGGCAAATCTACCATCCTTTGTCGAGGCACGAAAGGCATTGTTAATGCAAGGGTTACTTGCCGCAGATATTATCGCGCAGCTAGCACCAGGTTATGAGTCCGGGGTAACGCGCGCTTGGCTATCGTCTGGGGAAGGTTTTGCGCAGAACCTTTTCCGTCTTATTCGTACGCTCTGTACACAAGCGGAGCCGACACCCCGCATAAGCGGCAACCCCAGAGCTCAACCACGCGAGGACATGGATATCCTGTATATTATTACGTGCGGTGTCTCTACCCTCAGGAAGCTAAGTGAGAAGGCAAGAGATCCAAATAATCCGGCCAGCATCCCAGCAAACGCTCTTCCCACAAGAGAAAGCCTCTTCGGGGCGTTGCAAAGTCTCAAGAGCCCTAAGTGGACATTTCTACTAAATCAACTGAGTACATATGCTGGATTGGAAAGCTGAGTTACGTGCGTCTATATGATGTAACGTCCTCTTGGCAGCATGATAAACGGGTTTGGAGTAATTCGAACAAGGTAGCTCATGCGACGGTGGAGCGGTTGTTGACGAAACGGGGCTCGCAGGCCCTTATACCGGCGGCTTGGAGACCAGGCTGAAGCAAATCGGACCCTCATGGGAGCGCGGCGTTTAGGAATTAGATAATTGGCATCATATGTACAAAGTAGCCCAGCGTACAAGGGGGTGTATAAACGTGTAGAATATGCGTTCCAGGTTATACAGGCAAGACCGGCCACCTTTGCCAGAGGTATTGCGCCTCGGAGCTTACGAGTGTGCTTTTTAGGGTTCGATACTTAGTGAGAAGGTATTGAATGAAGAGTGAGACGACTAAAACGTCTCGATTGAAGTGAATCTAACAAGTCTTGTCGAGTATAACCCGTGATAGTCTATCCGTAAGGTGTTGGAGGGTAACTTAGGTATCTTTAAAGACCTTCCCTTAGGTTGGGTACCTGTTTAACTACTCGTTCGTCCCATTATTATATGGAACTGTGGTAATTCGATTTAGCTTACATGAATGAGGTACTGAATGTGGTTGCATCCCATCCCCATTAGTTAACTGATAACCAACATAAAAACAAGCCTGTTACTCTAGCAAAATGGGTCTGCAATCACGGAGATAGAGAAATGAAAACTTAATTCACAGTTAATGGCTAGCTAGCATTGTATGTAAGGTAGCAAAAGGTATTCTTGGATGACCTAGGTAAGGTAGGTAGGTACCTAAGGTAGCTGTTAAGGTTCATTACAAATTGATCGATCTATTGTTAGATCTCCTCGTCCTTCTAGTCTTATTAATCTTTGCCAAGCACATTTGACGATGGGGTATCATTCTCCTGCTCCCGCCTTCTTCTTCTTCTTTCTTCCTTCTTGGGGGGTTTACAACTGACTGACTGGCTCTACGGGTTTCATATCGTGCGAAGTGTCATCGGGTCTTGATTTGTACGCGTCAGGGTTACCACGGATCGAGCGTGCAAGGGAGTTTAAGGAATCCCGCCGCCTGGGCGGTTTGAGGTCGTCGTCATCTTCAGCGTCCGGCTCTACGCGCGGCTGACGATACGCTTTCTGGGGCCTGGCAGGTGTGCCAGTAGACGCGGGTGCCATCGGACCGATGCCGTAGTCGTCAAGCTCTTGGTTGTTCTTGGGGAATTCTCGCTTGTCTTGCCGTTGGCGCCGGATGTGTAGTATGATGAGTGTTATGACTGTTGTACCGAAAACGAGTCCGCTATGATGGGGGGAAGACAGGGCGTATCGTCAACAGGGATTCTTTCTTTCAAAAAGTATAGATAGGTCTTATTTTCGCCCTCCTCTCCTTTTAATAAAACTTACGCTATTGTTCCGACTACGATCCCGGCCGTAGGTTTAGACGCGTTCGGCTTTTCGCATAGGTTTATGTTAGGTGCTGGGTGGCATTTCTTATCTTCATCTTCGTCTCGCGTCGTCAAGACGTGGGAGACGGCTCGGGCAAAGTGCGACGCCAGCGACGCCAGCGACGCCGCTGACAGTGTCGACGGTGTCGACGGGTTAACTGGGATAGGGCTCATCACTCAGTTTTATTTTTTATTTTTCTTCTTTTTGTCTCCTCTAGGGGCGCGTTTCGATGTGATAGTCAATTGTAATTCCTAATTCTTACACCGTTGTGCTTCAGGATCGTCCGCTTCATTACCAGAATGGCCAACGTGCAGCTCGGATGATTCCGAGTAAGGCTTAATTTGCCAAAAAATGAATGTGACCTCGGCGTAGTTTGAGGTTTCGCAACGTGTAAACAAGCGAGGGACAATGGATAAAAGCAGAAAAAGAGAAAGTATAATAGTTGGATTTACAAGGGCAAAAAAAAAGAATGGATGGGATGAACGACGACGACGTTTCGCACGAAGGGAGGGTGTAAGATAAATAAAAAGGTAAGGTTACCAGAACTGAGTGAAAGCAAGGCACCCTAAAAAGCTCCTATAAGACAACATCACCTATAGGTTATCAAGGAGGTACAGGCCATGTGATGCATGATGTTTCACCGACCGTAGGGGGGGGCGATTGGGGGCGATTGGAAGCGCTGGTGAGGCGACTGGCTTAAATTGGTTTGGGGGGGAGAGATAGGCGTAGCATAATCTGGCGTGCCAAAAAATAAATAGAGACTCCTGAAGATCCGATTGAAACCAAAAGTTAAAAAAGTTTAGGGGTCCCTCGACGTTGCACTTTAATGTATTGTATTGTATTGTACGAGGTCCCACGTCAGTACCTAACCTAACCTATATCTAAAGTCAGGTACCCGTAAACCTAGGTACCTCTTGACCTTACTTACTTAAGTAAGTACCTAACCTACCTGTACCTAATATAAGATGACATACCGGGGGGTTGCCTGTAGGTTAGGTCGTGTTTTCTACGGTGTTGGAAGTTCCTACCGTCGCTTTTACCAAACATCCGGCTATTGGTCATAAAGTTGGAAGTTTCCTAGGTACTTCATTCTTATCACTCTTATGCATGTAATTATTCACTACTCTCATGTTTTATGTTAGTTATGTGAAAACCCTTACCTGTAGGTGACCTAGGTCCATTATCCTCTTTTCTCATACTAAATAATGAATGAGGTGACAACGAGGTGACGATGATTAATAACCTACCGCTAGCAAACCAGACGAACTATCTTAAGTACTCCAGACCTGCAAAGCGACATTGTCCGAGTAGCCCATGCGCCTCCAATCCAGAAACCCCTCTACTATGTAAACTTTCCTGGCCGTCTTTACTAACTCCGATATCCAGCTACAAATGGTTGAACCCGCATCTATCCTATCAAGTCCCGCATGCATTAGACATCGCTCATATAAGTAGGTGGGATTAACGATGTGCATTCTAGCATAACATTTTCACATCAAGTGCAACGGCATAGGACGGCTAACCAATTTCATAGATCGGCAAATACAGCCAGGCTAGAACTAGGTTGCTGTACCAATCCAAACCTTGTGACAAAACGATTACGTTTATGAGAAGCATGATAGGTAGACAGGTAGGGAAGATGGTAAGCTAGAAGCATAGTAACTTCAAACTGGGGAAGAGGCTCCAAGGGTTCCGCTGGTAACCGCGCCGGTCTTAAACTTCATTGGGCAAAAATGGACGACGTCAGTTCCGTCGCGGTTCCGTACTCTCGTCCATGCCATCGAGTTTCTCCTACTGGACCTACCGCGAAAAGCCGAGATCTTCTACCTTGGACATATTTAAACCGTCTCGTGATAAGCTGTCGTATTACAGTATAAACGTGAACGATGGTATGTATCTATTACACGAACACTGTTAATCTTTCGGTGGCGATCGATCACAATTCGAGAGGTAGAGACAAACTCACCCATCGTAATCACCGAGATTAGATGAAGATCAAGTAACTTGGGAGATACCCTGTCTACCTAAGTTGTAGCGAAGATGGTTGCGGTGATTTCCAACTTGTTATACGCTGTTGGTCTTACGGCTTCATTGGCATTTATTTATGTAAGAAAACCCCCTAACAGATGCCGCATAGAAGCTGGGTTTGTGCAAACTAACTAGAGTGCCTAATGATATAGGCCATTGCACTTGTTATCTACCGATTATTCTTCCACCCTCTAGCTAAGTATCCGGGTCCGTTTATAGCCAAGATTACAGATGCCTACCAACTATATCACGCCTGGAAAGGAGATCGGCACCTGGAGTTCTGGCGCCTGCATGAGAAGTATGGCAAAGTCGTTCGGTTTGGGCCTAACAGCGTGTCCTTCAACTCAAACACGGCCTTGAAAGATATCTACGGGTTCAAATCCAATGTGAGAAAAGCCGAGTTCTACGATGCATTTGTTCACCCGGCGCCTAATACTCACAACACAAGAGATAAAGCCCTACATGCTCGAAAGAGGAGGGTACTCTCTCAGGCATTCTCGGATGGAGCCGTCAAGGAGATGGAGAGGTACATCTTGGCCAATGTGCGATCCTTCTGCGAGCAGATCGGCCTCGGTGCAAGCGACGAGCGAAAGGGATGGACTGTAGCCAAGAACATGGCTGACTGGTGCAACTACCTTGCTATGGATATCCTCGGGGACCTGTGCTTTGGGAAAGCATTCCATATGCTGGAAAAGCCTGATAACAGATATGCTCTCGAATTGGTGTCGCTTGCTACTACAAGACATCTCATCGTAAGTAATCCATCCTTTCTTAGACGGTGACCATTTGTTGATTGTAATAGTGTGGAACCATGTCTTTAGTCGGCAAGCTTCATCTTGATAAGATACTGTTTCGGAGAATCGCGACTGGTCGGGCAAAGTACATGGCTTATAGCAAAGCCCAGCTTACTGAGCGCACAAAGTTAGGCGATGATACGGACCGTCGCGATTTCTTCTACCATCTACTCAAAGCACGAGACCCCGAGACCGGGCAAGGATTTGCGATGCCCGAGTTGTGGGGAGAATCAAATTTGCTGTGCGTATCCAAGCAGACCAACCCGTGTATAGATTATGTTGACTGACAGCACTGTAAGAATCATCGCAGGAAGCGATACAACATCGACTGCACTAGCGGCAACATTATTCTATCTGGTTCGTAATCAGGTAGCGCTGCAAAAAGCGAGCCAAGAAGTGCGCGCGAAATTTGACGACGTAGAAAAGATCTGCCAAGGTCCGGCACTAAACTCGTGCACCTATCTCCGGGCGTGTATCGACGAAGCCATGCGCATGTCTCCCTCGGTAGGAGGGGTTTTGCCTCGCGAAGTCTTGAAAGGCGGTATCACAGTTGACGGCGAGTATATACCCGAAGGGATCGTTATTGGTACTCCGCATTATACTATCCACCACAATCCGGCGTACTACCCACGCCCGTTCTCATACGTTCCGGAACGGTGGATTGAGGGCTCCTATAAGACCTTCGGAGAACCAAGCGAAAGAAATGTTACGGAAAAAGACGTATCGCTAGCCCAGAGCGCCTTCTGTCCCTTCTCTATCGGACCCCGAGGGTGTATAGGGAAAGGCCTTGCATATATTGAGATGATGACAACGTTGGCCAGGACGCTATACATGTACGACCTGCGGAAATCAGCTGGTTTTGATCCTGGCGAGGGCAATCCTGATCTCGAATGGGGCCGGAGACGTGTGGACGAATTCCAGCTGATCGATCAATTCACCAGTTTTAAAGACGGTCCCATGGTTGAGTTTAGGAAGCGGATTTAAACTGATAGGATCTGGACCAGCTAGGATAAGAATGAACTCAACGTTTTTTTTTTTTTTTTTTTTTTTTTTTTTTTTAAGCGGCTACCAATTCATACAACTTAATTAGGTGTTTAGGTTGGAAGTTAACCTCACGCGCAATTTGATTATATTTAGAACCTGGGGGGCTTTACGACCTTGTCTCGTATTGGTTGATGGTCAAGGACCCTTGTTACTTTCCTCTCTTGGAGTCGGACGGGATGATTATGCCCAGCAGTTGATAGTTGATATTCGATCACGGACTTCGGTGACGGTCCTTTATCCAAGATTAGATAGATCCAAGCTTTCGCTTCTGCTGGTCGACAAGCAGATGTGGGGATGACATGCCGGCAATCTGGATGAATAGCGGCGGAAATATACTCTCTTAGCTTGTTTCTCCCCATCGGCGGCCAGCCTGGCACCAACAAGATTTACCTATCTACCCCCACCCACCCCTTTCGACTTTTAATAACAGGTACTCAAACTTTATTCATGCCTTGGGAAATACTACATAAAATATGACTATGTGAACCAAGGCTCCATCAGTCGTAACGTGAGAGGTGGTGAAAAATCGGCCGCTCGGGAAGATGTTCCTACGAGCTCCCAGATATGGGCACTCAATGGGTAATAATATGTACTCTTATAGAGAAACGCTCTACTCTGCTCAGGGTGTTTTGAAGCGCCACCAATAATATCGACGTATATCAACTCAGTAGTTGAAAAAGGCAACGGTATAGTACGGAGGTACTATATTAGGTATAGGTAGGTATGAGGTGAAGTTTTCTTGGCAAGTAGCATAAAATCTCCTCCGCCCCGTGCAACACTGTCCCTTCCAGTGATATGATAGGTAATCACTACAGGAAATGCGCCACTCTGTCGCGATGATGAGCTCAGGACTTCGTTATTCTCTCGTGTCTTTGCTTGCTCTGGGCGGCATCCCATCCTTCTCTTGGGCTTCACCACTAAAGGTGAATGTTGATGCCCGTGCCGATAGTTGGCCCTATGGACCGCTTGTCACATCTGGTCGTGACATGAAAAATACGCGAGGTGAAAATGTCGTCTACGCCGGTACTAATTGGCCAGGCCACGGAGAAGTAATGATCCCGGACGGACTGCAGTATCAGTCTATCGAGAGCATCGTTTCCAAGATCAAGAGCGTGGGCATGAACGCAATCCGCCTAACGTACGCCATCCAGATGATAGATGAGATCTATAGCAACAATGGCAAGGATACGACTGTGAAGGACTCGTTTACTAAGGCGCTGGGCCAAACAAACGGACCAAAAGTTTATAGTCAATTCCTCGCGAAGAACCCGTCTTTCAACGATAGTACTACTCGCCTGCAAGTTTTCGACGCCGTCGCTGCCGAGTGTGCCAAGCAAAAAGTGTTTGTGCATTTAGACAATCACATGTCCAAAGCTGCCTGGTGCTGCTCTACCAATGACGGAAATTCTTGGTTTGGAGACACAGATTACAGTACGTAGAGAAAGAACTCCTAGAAACACAGATCGTGTGCCTTCAAATTGGGCTGTTGAAGTCTTCATGCGCAGAGCTAAAACATACCTGTTTCTAGACGTAGAAAACTGGACCAGAGGACTCTCGTATATGGCGAACCACGGGAAAAATTGGCCGGCGCTGACGTCGATGTCACTACGCAACGAGCTTCGCAAACCGGACAGCAACCCAACGCTCAGCAGCCAATCCTACAACTGGCGAGACTGGTATACGAATATCAAGAAAGGCACGAGTGCGATCAACTCGGCAAACCCCAACTTGCTGATCTTCCTGTCGGGCCTCGATTTCGACACGTACGTCACACCAGTGGTCCAGGGCACGGCATTTACACCAGGAAGCGCCAAGTTCAGCGCGGCCGACTTCAAGGGCTATGCGAACAAGCTGGTGCTGGAAATCCACAACTATCAGAACAGCGCGAACAACTGCAATAGCCTCAAGAGCTCCCTGTACAATAGCGGCTTCCAGGCGCTGCACGCGGACGACTCCAAGGCCGTGAACGTGTTCCCGGTGCTGTTGACCGAGTTTGGGTTTGACATGACGGGCACCGCGTGGCGGGGGACGTATGCTACTTGCATCGCCGAATACCTGGCAGAGCAGAAGGCCGGGTGGTTCATCTGGGTCGTATCAGGAAGCTACTATATCCGCTCGGGAAGGCAAGACTACGAGGAAACTTGGGGGTTGCTAAAGCATGACTGGTCGGATTGGAGATCGTCGGCGTATGTTGAGGGAGGCTTGAAGCCCCTTGTGAAGGCGACCGCGCAGGGGTGAGATGATGGATCTAATCCATAGTACCCAAGCGGACACTTATATTTATATGAGCGAGGCAGCCTTAGGCTCCCCAGATCCTATGTTAGGTAGTTGCTACTGAATTGAATCCTTCGTTGTTTGAAACCAGGTTGGAAATGGAACATCGTGACATTTTATTCTCGCATATTCGCATATAAAAATATGAAAATAAAAATATATGTATATATCTAGGTATGTATTTATACAATCAGAATATGTGATGCGTTTGCTGAATGTATCTTTTATCTATCTAATCATTTACCTAAGGTAAGGTACGAAGTACCTAGGTACCTACTACTGGACCTAGGTCCTACCTAGGTAAAATACGTTAGCGTCCTGCAAGGCTGAAAAGGCTGATAAAATTCACCCCTAGCTTTTCGAGCTTCGCCATTAACACAACACAATTAACATCGCCATTTCACCTGACCTGTCAATATGGTGGGACGTGTCTGCAGATTTTGGCAACAGGGCTTTTGCCGAAATGGAAGTATGATTGGTTGATCTTTTGTACCTTTTGACTTTCGTATACTGAAAACTGAAACTAACATCTGTCAACGTATAGCCGCTTGCCGATTTGAGCACCCGGACGCCAACGCCAACTCCAATACTAACGCGAGTTCGAGTTCGTTCGGAGGTCCTAACCCTAACGCGAACCGTTTTAGAGTCCTAGGATCTGGAGGAAATAGAGACCAAGAAAACCCTTACAAGATCTCTACAGATATCATACGACAGGACTTAGGACCCGAGAAGCCATCATGGCTGTTATCGTGCTACGGCCCAGGGAGGGACGCTCCGGAGCAATTATTCGGAGGTCACCCGCGAGAACAGAGTCCCGAGGAAGTTATGCTATATATTAGAGGATCAAGTAACCAGCAACAGGCTGTACGAATTCAAGTTCTTTCTTTCTTTTCGCACTGCTGATGTTTGAGCTAGATGTCCGAAATCGCGGCTCTCGTCCAACAAGCTGAACAGCAAAACCAGACGGCCCTAAGCAACCTCGACGGCGCACTTAAATTTATCCTCTCTGCCGAGAATACGCACCCGAACCGTATAGATATATGTAGGCAGAGCAACCCACAGGGTACTACTAGTGGAATATTCGCAAAAGACACTGCGCCTGGCCCCCAGACGGGGTTCTCAAATCCTCTCGTTTCCAATTCTTTCTCGTCGGCTCCGCAGTCAAATATTCAGTCAAATCCTTTCGGTGGTGGTACACCTTCATTTGGTCAGCCGTCGGCACTGGGACCAAAGCCAAATCCTTTCGGTGCAGCACCGTCTACTCAAGCATTCGGCCAACCCTCCACTCTAGGGGCTCCGAAGCCCGTCTTCGGGCAATCCTCACAGATGGGGTTGGGTGGTCCCGCATTTGGACAGCCCTCAGCCCTGGGTCAGAAGCCAAATCCTTTTGCAAGCAATGCTCCGGGGCCATCTGGGTTTGGCCAAACCGCCCAGAGTGCGTTCGGACAGCCGTCAGCCTTGGGGCAAAAACCAAACCCCTTTGGAGCGCCTGCGGCCTCTTCCGCTCCTAACCCCTTTTCCTCGGCAGCACCAACTTCGGGACCTAATCCGTTCGGCCAGCAACCGACCGTCAATCCTTTTCTTCAGACAGTGAATGCGCCATCATCCGATCAACAGATGGATACCTCGGCTCCTACTCCAGCTCTCAGTAATCCTTTCAATCAGCCACAGTCAAACTCGGCTTTCGCGCCACCGACTACAAATCCTTTCGCATCGCAGCAACCATCTTCATTCGCAACTCCGTCAAGTAACCCTTTCGCTCAAACCCAGACCCAGACACAGTTACAGCAACAACCATCACAACCACAACCACAAACGCAAGCGCAAGCACAGGGAACGCCCGCGACATCGACATCGACAAACCCATACGGACCGAATAGTACTAAGCAGCACCCGTCCCCTGGAAATTATATTTCGAAGGCTGCGAACGGGCGGATAATATCGTTTAACGGGCAACCGGTGATATATAAGTGGAAAGTGGACGAAAAATATCAAGATGCGATGCCTCAGGACGGCGGTACATATCAACCGGCACCAGGCGTGCAGAACTCGGATGGTTCGTGGCGTAAAATCTTCTTCCCCCATGGCCCGCCCGGGTACAACAAGGATACAGAACCGGACCTCGCGATGTATACGCCGACCGTCAAAGCGGCATATGCTGCCGTGGCGGCTACTGGCAGGTTCGAGGGAGATATGCCCGAAGTACCACCCCTAAGGGAAGATTGCGTCTGGAACTTTTGAGAGCGGCACCATTTTTAAAGTATACTAGGATGGTTTACATGCGTTATGTGGAAGAGAATGGTATGCATATATATCGACTGGTCATACAGGGATAAACTACGAGGTTTGCGGTCTATAGAAGTAGGTAATTTAGATACCCCGGAGTTATAATGGGTTACGAATAGCACACCACTTATTCATCAATGGTAGGAAACGTCAGAGTTATAATATTGGCCTCATAAATTGGCTCGGACTTGAATTCTGCCGCGGCGTAGTGCCTGCGAGCATGTGTAATTGCAGGCGCTGTCTAGAACGCAGCTGGAATAACACGGGTATCCTTGAATACAGATGATCCTTCCAATACCCATCCGCCCTTTGCGCCTTTTCCCATTCTCGAATTCTGCTTTAAGCAGCGATGGTAACTTCGACTTCGACACCGGCCTCGATGTTAACGATGATCTGCTTAACAGTCTCGGTGGGAGCGTTAAGGCTATCAGCCAGAGTTAGCATCCTTTCTTTTAAACATGATAAGGAAGGGGGGGAAGGGGGGCGAGGGCAGTGATGTGGGGAGAATTGACATACTCGATCAGGCGCTTGTGAATGCGCAGCTCGTAGCGGTCCCAGGTCTTGGAACCCTCACCACAAGGAGTCTTTCGGGTGGTAACCTTGAGGGTCTTGGTAGGGAGACGAACGGGGCCCTTGACGCGGAGGTCCTTGCTCTTGGCGCGCTCGATGAGCTCGCTGCAGACCTTCTCAAGAGAGTTCACCTTGCGGGAGCTGAGGGTGATACGGATCTTGTGAGTCTTGGCCTGCTCGCCGGCAAAGTCCTTCTCGGCCTTGTTGTACGACATCTTGACGTCGGTCTTTTTTTTTCTTCGTTAAGAAGGGAAGAGGCTTTAGGTATTTGATTAAATTTGCGACGAGAACTTGCCCTCACGACTCGAACGGTATGACGTTGCGGCAAAGTGATGAAGGCAACTTTTGATGTTGGTTTATAGGAGGGGAATTAAAAAAAAGTTAAAAAGTTGGCCGATATTTCGCGAAAAGATAATGGGCTTAGAAAGAATTCCCGATGTGGGTTCGGATAAGGGCTTATAAGTGGGTCTAAGCTTTGCGGTTTCTTAGCCGATAACGATAAGAATCATTAATATGGTACCTTTGATGCGCTACCTAAATCTACGTAAATCAGGTACCTACCTAGGTAGGTAGGTGCTTTCGTTATGTAATAGTGGACGTTAGGTATGGAGCTTAACCTATTTTTATTGATGCCTCGCAGTTCATCTTATCCACCAGGTTTCCTAAGGCTAGGTACCTGTTACGTAGGTACCTCTAACCTAACCTAAACATTTACAAAGAGTCATCCGGCATACTACCTCCTAATCCGTGATGTAGGCCTAGCCAGATTACCACCTCGATAAACACCATTTAAAACTTGATGAAGAGCTACCAGGCCTTGGGGATTTATCCAACCTGATACATGTTTTCTTAAAACATCAACAGGTAGTCGAGACATCCTCATTTACTTCGCATATCACTTCCCATGTCATGGCGGTCCTCCCTCCCTTTGCGCCTTTTCCGGAAGCGCCTTGGAGGAATCACATCGTTCCCGAGGAGTGGGAAGCCTGTCTAGCTAACTGGCTTGCGCTGATAGAGGCTCACCTTTCTCTATCCAACGATGAGTTTGCTAGCTTGTCCGCCAACGATGAAACATTACTATCTTTTCTCGTCTCTTTTACGACAGAAGCCTCAACAAACGGTGTCGTCGTGCTGGGTACATCACAATCCGCGAAGTTATTATTCCGTCAATGTTTTCTTCTAGCTGCTAGACTACTACGGTTGTCTTCTCCGCCCTCTCCCCTCCTTCAGTGGGAGTTCCTTTCCGACTTCAGCCGTCTGTTTTCGAAAAAGAGAACATGGCCTCTAATCAATCAGGCCTTCCAGAAGCCGCCTGTGACGAACTCCTTGGCTATCCTCAAAAAATCATTAATCATTACGCTGGATTCGGGCCTCATTGGTGACCTTAGGACTTTGGAGTCTCAGTTAAAAAGACTTAACCATCTCATCCACGCATCTCCTGACATAGCCGCATTCTTCCTAGCCGGGAGTGATTTTCTTGACGGACTTATTAGTTGCTACAAGATCATGAATCCTCCTCTGAGAAAGGCCATTGTGACAACGGCTTATTTATGTCTAATTGGGTTGACCGAGGGTAATCCTCCTAATTTTTCCATGCTGACTGACCAGCTCTACTCCCTTAAAGCCGCGGCCGATAGTCATAAAGCAGGGCCGTTGAATGCGAATGACTCCATGGTCGCGGAGTTGGTTACAGTTACCCCTATTATTAAACAGGTTCAACACCGCTTTGAGGAGTCTAATTTGAGCACGACACGATGGAAGTCGGCTTTAACTGCGTTGGAGGGCTTCCGAAAGCCTGGTGGTATTGTCAGGCCGAAAAGAATGGTCCGACAAAAAATAGACAAGGGAAAAGGAATTATGACTGACGACGATGATATCCTTGGAGAGATGAGAGTACATCACATGAGTCAAATATCTCAGATACAGGACCTGTTCCCAAATCTAGGTTCTGGCTTTGTCTCAAGGCTGCTAGATGAATACGAAAACAATACTGAGCAAGTTATTGCGCACCTTCTCGAAGATTCCTTGCCCGCCCACTTAGCCAATGCCGACCGCAAAGAAGAGCTGTTCGTCTATAAAAAATATATCATCTTCATCATATAGTTGTACTAATGTGTCTATAGGTCTCAGGAGAAAAGTAGGGGGAAAAGCCGCGATATTGCACCTCGACCGAATCCACCACTTTTACCTTCAGAGCGCCACAATGTATATGATGACGACGAATTTGACAAGCTGGCAGTGGACATGTCTAACATCCATTTTGGAAAGCGAAATCCGGAGAAATCGGCGGATGATATTTTGAATGATCGGTCCTCCGCTCCCAATAAGGCCGCCATTCTCTCCGCGCTTTCCGCATTCGACGCAGACGATGACGAACGTGATGACACTTACGACGTTGCGGATGCTGGGTTGGTAGTAAATGACGGAAACCCAGAAGATGCTGATGACCAAAAACGAAAGGATGCAAGTGAAGAAGCTCTTTTTAGGGCTTACCAGTCTGATTCGAAAGTGTTTGATAGAGATGCGGCGATGAGAAGAGGCCAAACCAGAGCTAAACTGAAGCAGCAGACGGGAATGACCGACGAGGCTATTGAAGGCTGGGCATTGATGCTGACCAGAACGCCGCATCAGATGAGACAGTTGGAGATGAAATATAGTGCGTTTAGTGGCGACCAACCTGCTTTAGCCCCGACTGCTTGGCGTGCAAGCCCGGCGGAATCGGCAGCTGAAGAGTCAGAGATTGACAACGGGGGCAACAATCCCAATAACCCCCGGGGTGGATCGAGTAATCGTGGCCGCGGCCGTGGAGGCCGGGGACGAGGTAGAGGTGGTGGGGGTGGGGGTGGGGGTGGAGGAAACGTCGCCGGTCCATCTGGCGATAAAGATACCGAAAGCGCTAGGAGACGTAAGGAAGCAAACAAGGGCTCCAGAGCCAATCATAACAGGCGCAATCAACGTGCCAGGAAGATGGCACGTGGGGGACTTCCCGGATGATCAGGTAGCCATGTTCAGTGATTAAAGATATACCTAAATCCTGGAAAAGGGGTACCTCGCCGACAACCATCACATCCCGTAAGCGGCTATGCTAATTTTCGCTTTTTGGTTGGTGGTCGGCCATGCGTACGTGCCATTGGCGTTGGCAATATATTTGTTGTAACCCCACTGGTATCAGGGCTCCTTTCGTAGAGATCGTCGTCTTTTAGGATCTGCGCATAGGGACTTCTCAACTCGGAATTGCCTGGGGATAGGCCCTGAGAAATAGGATCGAAGGCATGTATTGGTGCAGGAGATACTACGCCGCTGAACGATGGACTTATTGCTTCGAGTCCTACGTGGCGAATTACGTTCGACGCGTCTCTTGGTGTTGCCAACTCCGATACAGATGCTATCTCATTGTCAATATCCCCAGCTTTTGCATCGTGCGCCCCGATCATAGACATTAACGATTCCCGAGAACTGCGCCGACTTTCGAGGTATTCGCTAAGGTTAAAACATTGCGTACAGACCGGATAAACAGGCCAGCATTCTGCCTCATCGCGGTATGTAGGCAGCTGAGGCCGTCTCTCCTCGCCACACCGCTCTCGGATGTCGTCTAAGATGTCGTATATAGGCGTAAAGAAAGTGTGTCGCGGTCCGGGACCGTAGTATTTGTTTCGCCCCCAAAGCTGGCCGATCATAGCATTAGTTTCGGAATCGATAATCACGGCACCGCTATCACCTTCAATCCCTATACCACCACGAATCCAGGATTCTTCGTCGTCGTAAGGGTCAGGTTCTTCTACGTACCATTCCCGAGATGCCTTTCCTGTACCATTTCCTACACCGTCGACATACGCAGGTATGTCGCAGACCTGGCCTCTCTGGAAACCCGAGGTACGCCCTGTTGAGTACACCGTCGCTCCGGGCACGATTGAGCTCATCGAGATTATTGGAGTCTCTTGCTTCTGGTTGGTAGTAGGGAACTTTCGGAGCATGTTGGCCTGCTGATACTTTGTAGAGACCAATGCCCAATCTGTAACAACCAATGGAGGTTCCATGTCACACTCTTCCCAATATGGATCGTGAGAAACTCGAGTGGTCTTCAAGTCGAACCCGGAAGTCGCCGTCAAATTCCCGATGAGGAAGTTGAGGTTGGTATTATTTAAAGCTTCGTGACTCTCACCCAAGCACCTTGCACGGTCCATCGGAGACGGGTGCTCGATAGGTATTGGCCGAGTTCCTTTACTTGCTTCAATAAACGGGTGAAAATTAACCAACCAAAAATTCCCACCGTTGATGGCCATGCAGGGACCTAATGTTGCAGTAGCCTCATCGCCATCCTCGGATGTAGCTCCAATGCTATCCCCCATACACGGAATCGTATAAAAGAAAGGATTACGCGGACGGCAAACCTCATCCGCCATATCTTTACTTAGCCCTCGTGACCATACAAGCCGATTTACCTCTCCGACGGAGAATACGAAGGCGACCAAATTATGGTGGTTTTTGGGTAATAGGTCCCGTACATGAGCTGCAATGACTAGCCTTCGAGCTCTGGAGACGTTTTGCTTCGTCATAATACATATGCGTCTGGAGTTGGGCTTTCGTCCACGCATTACAGAAATGACATGACCATGGCCGCACCATTTCGGAATGAACTCGACGAGAAATGGAAGGATACAATGCTCCCATATGATAGGGAAACTGGCAGAATCCAACAACTTGGAAACATGGCCCTTGTAATCTTCGCCGTTTTTTACTGGACCACCTAATACTATTCATTAGCTACCATCCCGCTGGGATTTAACGCTCGTATCTTACCTTTAGCTTTATTCGCCTGCTTCTTAAGTATGGCCTCTAGCCGGTCTCGACAACGACTTTTTGAAAGATCGACAGCCGTCTTCATCCTAAACGTTTCCCCCTCCATAGCCTTAAGGTTATTGATGGACATTTGGCTCTGACAACCCACTCCTGGTGCTGCCGGAGACCCTTTCGTTGTTTCGAGAAGGTTCACCGGCTTAAATGAAGCATTCCGGGCCGCTGTGGTGTTGCCGTGGGCATACTTAAGGTGGCAATCGAGAAGATCTCTGGAATCAAATGTATCTTCTGCACAACCGGGCACCGGACATAGTAGTAGATGTTCACGCTTGACATGCCAATTGAGCTCTTCGCTAGTTGCAAATCCCGCACTAGAACATGGCCCTTTATCACCCCAGAGACAGGTATGTCTATGCCCAATACTATAATGGGTCTCGAGGTCTCTTTTGTTGGAGAACTTAGCCCTACACATATCCCTTGGGCATATGTGATGACTGTCTGTGCCAGTAGACAGTCTCTCCTTAAGCTGTAGAGGGCTAGGAGCACGCGACTTTGACGTTCCCGTAGAAAAAATCTCCGATGCGAAGTCTGTCTGGATAGAAGACAAGACAGATCCCTGATACGAAGACGAAGGGGAATACGTTAGGCTACTGGCTATGTCCGAGACACACGGTATTAGTATCCCCTGTGAAAGATCGATGGGTTCAGTCTCGGTAACTTTGCCAGTAATGCCGTGTAAGTTCCCCGTTCTCAGAGCTACCGTCCCATTCCCGCCATCCTCCCATGGCATATATTGTTGAGAGAGTGGGCAAACCAGTGGCGTATCCTCCAAATTGAAATCGGTGTCGAAGCCTCTAAATACGGCCGGCTCGATGCCACCACCATGGTGTGGAATTCCATTCGTATGGGAAGCCGCCTGCGCAACGCACCCGGAAGACCTGATAGTTCCAGGGCTGCACGGGGCCTTGGACATATGTTTCCGATTGGCACCCATGTCTGGTAACAGACGAGAGCGTTACCGCTGTGACGGCTGTTAGTTTACTAATAGGAGGGTTACTAGAATAAGAAAAGACAAGTAAAAGTGAACTTTAGGTACCTACAATCCCTATAGGAGCAAATAAGAGTGGAGGATGCCTTAGTTCGTAAAAGTCAACCTTTTTGATTATACTATAGCTCGGAGACTGCCTGAGGTGAATGTGAGAAATTTCGATTATACATCCTTGAATGGGAGGGGGGTTTGGTTCCGTTTGACGAAGAGGCCTCCCTTGCATCGAGGCAGCAGAGTAGGATCCGAGGCACAGTACCTAGCTTGTAGTTCGCAACCCATCTTCACCACTTAATCATGCCGATTTGGGGTAACCTAGCTAGCTGCCTTGAATGAGCCTATGGAAATAAATCACTTGCCACCATTGTCGAAATCAAGCTGGCTCTACTAGGTCAGGTACTTGTAGCTTTATAGTCACCGAAGAACGTTTGATTAGAGAAAGATTATAGGTTACCTACCTAAGGAGGTAGGTATATTCTATAGACAGGGGGTAAAGTCGTTAAGCTTCACTTGATAGTCGATGATATACTACCTAGGTAAATATCGCTTCATGATATTGTTGGCTGCTCTCCAAAATGCTCGCATCCAACTCACCGTTTGTCCCTTTCCAGTTCGTTCCCCTCGATACGAGTAACGATTGAATTTTTTTAATCTTTTTCTTTTTTTACCAGTTCATCTTGTCTTCATGTGCTATTTAAACAGGTATTTTTCGTTGCCCTTAGTCGGTTCTTACTTTACGGCTAGGCTGTCGTATAAATGATGATCTTTACGGAAAGGACAACGAGAACACACTACCACATTGTACCAAATACTAGAAGTCAAGGCGACAAAAAGAGCCACCGTTAGTATTGATTGGCAGCGTAGAACTGTAGTATATCACTAATCGTCTCCAATGCGTCCCAATAAACCCACGATTGTGGGCTTTACCTAGTCCACCCATCACCTCCCAGTCCCAGAACAAAGTAAATGTGCTTTTTGTTGCAACCCCCAGACAAAAGAACGCCGTAGATGCGTATGCCCACTAAACGCGTTCCTAGGAACGCCAAGCGCCAATGCGTTGATACAGATACAAGGTACCAGTCAGTAATTATAGTCGTACGTCCAACTTCTTCCTCTTTACAGTAATTCCCCGTGTTCTCGGAGTACTTGCCCCCTTGTTTCTACTCGCCGTTACCTCTTCTTTTCGCTCTCACTAGCTCAGCAGCAAGCTCGTTGTTCTGGCGTTCGCTATCCTGTATTCTCTGCCTTGCTGCTGCTCGGTCCATATGCCTGGCTTCTCTCTCCTGCTTGAGCTTATACTCGAGCTCTCGTAGTCTGAACATCCACCTGTTGTCGTCACTATTCTTTCCAGAAGAGTGATCACCGTTGGAAGTGCTTAACCGCTCCAATTCAGATGCACCCATAGTAGAGGCGCTCCGAGACATGCTGCCGGGTCCGCTCTTACCGCTTGAGCTAGGTGTTTCCAAGTGAGTGGTCTTGCTGCGCGGAAGTTTTGATTCTCGGTGATGCGGTCCCGTCGGCACGGATGGCGAGGGACTACCTCCATCAATAAGGTCCTCTCGCGAGGATTTGCTACTCGCTTTCTTCGATCCCGTCCAACCAGCTCCACGAGTACGTGCATCGTTGGCGCGTTGAAGAGTAGCATTCTCGATCTTCAGGGCTCGGTATGCGGTCTCGAGTTGAGATATCTTAGCATGCGCGTCAAAGTGGCCGGATGCGATGCCAGTGCGGACGATAGTCTCAAGACGTTCAAGTTTCTTAGATTTGGCGTCAAGGCTATTTTCGAGAGACTGATATTCTTTCCACAGTTCACGCTCGACCGACTTTATGCGAGTTTGGAAATTTCCCACTATACCCTCGATGGTCTTTACGGCGCTCATCAAGTTCTTGGCAAACCCGGGGAGCATTGTAGATACAGACTCGAGCGAGGGTAGAGCGCGGCCGTTGATGAGACTATTATCGTGGGCCCAATCAGTGCCGCAGAGCGTCGAGAGACGCGTCCACAAGACTAGTAGTAGATTGTTTCGCTCGTTTAGCTGTTCCTTAAACGAAGCTTCGAGCTGCGCTATCTTCTTCTTGTCCGCCGCACGGCTGGTCTCGAGTTCAAGGATGCGCGAATCTTGGCTCGTGACGGTCCGCGATACGTGCTGATGGGTGCGCTGGAATGTTTCGAACTGATTCTTAGTGTTACGATGAGCTTGCCGCTCCTTGTCGAGCATTTCAGCTAGTCTCCTAGATTCGAGCCCGTGAGACTCGAGAAGCGCGTCGCGCTGTTTAATTATACGGTCCTTCTCCAGCATAGAGTTCTTCGCGGCGTCAAGATCCCGAACCGTATTTTCGAGCTCTCTTTGAAGCTTGGCGATGGACTTATAACATTGTTAGCGAGATATCCTAGAAAGCCTGTAACCCTGCCTCGTAAATATAACTCACCTTGAGAAGGCTAGACCTAGTTCCATTCAAGTCGCCTAAAGCCTCACGTAGATTATTCTCTAGCTCCATAAGTCTCTCTTTCCACTCCGTAGCTTCAACCTCTCTACTCGTTAAGCTCTTGCGGAGTCTTCTAGCCTCGTCCTTAGCGTTCGAAACTTCGCGATTAAGCTCGTTCACAAATTGTTGAACTTCCTCCTTCTCGCGTCCTGCTACAATTTCGCGTTGTTTCCGTTCGTTGGCGAGCCGCTGCTCTAGTTCCTTAGACCGATCACGTTCCTCTCTAAGACCCTGCTCGGCATTGGCGAGCGCCGCCTCGAGATCGCCTATTCGAATCTTATCCGCTTCTTGCTCCTCGCGTAAAAATGCAATCTCACCCTGGCTAGATTCCTGCTGAACCCCGAGACGCTGCGCCTTATCGTTCGACTCGAGGAGCTTGACCTCGAGGTCTTCGGATTCTCTATTCGACTCGGCAAGTTCCTGTTCTAGTTGCTCTATTCTTCTTAGCTTCTTCTCCTGCTCATCTTCGAGTCTTATTAGTGCCTCGCTCATCTGGCGCATCTCCTCCTGAAGGGCGTCGAAATTTTCCGAACGGTCTTGCAGCTCAATCTGCAACCGCTGGATTTCTTCCGTCTTTTGGTCGCTCTCGGCTTCCAAGGAGTCAATCTCCTCTTGGGCTTCTTTTCGCAGAATGTCGAATTCATTCTGAAGGTCAGCATGCTCCTGCAAAACTTCGTCTCGCTCCCCTTGTATCTGTAACATATCATTCGTCGTGTTTTGGAGTTCCTCTTCCAGAGCCCCGTTGTGCTCCTCCAGCTGTCTCCTAGACTCGCTAATGCTATCCAACTCCTGCATACACGTTTGTAGTTCGCGCTGGAGCTCTTGCTTTTCAAATTTGAGCTCATTAATCCTGTCGCGGTGCTCGGCCAGTTTATTTTCCAACTCTTCACGATCGGGGTCTTCCTCTACTGTCATGGTGAGCCTAGTGCGGCCGCTTCCCCGGGAAGCCGATCGTTCATGACCGCCTACGCGAGATGCCGATCGGTCGAGGAGGCTATCAATAGTTGAAGATGCAGGGCCTGCGCGACGCTGCGCAAGTTTAAGGTCTTCAATTTCCTGATAAAGTCTCTCCTTCTCGCGGTTACGGGATGTAAGCATGGACGTCTGCGCGCCGACTTCCCTGCGCAACTCGGCGTTCTCATGACGTAGTTGTTCGCTTTCTCTACGGAGTTCCTCGACCAGGGTTGCTGATTGGCTTGAGGCGGTGGTAGGATCTATCTCCCCAGATAGACCAGAAACGGGACGTGATCTTGTTGGCGAGGCTGGCCTGGCCTTCCGCGTGATATTATATATGTTCGTTGTGTGGTGCAAGCCACCCCCCGGGGCTGCCGTGCCGTTTATTTCCTGTTTTAGTCGGAATATCTCGTCTCGTAGTCTTCGGTTGTCATCGTCCGCTTGCTCGCGACGAGCCGTTTCTTGCTCAAGAAGATCTTTATACACGTCAGCCTCCTCCTGGCGACCTAGACTTTCGCCGACACGCTCGCCGGCGCGGTCTCCCATGGATTTCACGGTTTCAGCTAGTTTCCACTTTTCGGCCTGGCTAGCCATGTTTTCATTTCTTAGCCTTTCTATCTCGGTTGCATATTCCTCGACACGTTCTCTTAGATACAACAGCTCCTCCTCCCGTTCTTGGGCGTCGGCATCAAAGGCCGGAGCTGTTGCACCGTCTGAGGAATAACCGCTTCTCGCGGTGCTCGGGCGATCTTCTTCGTCGCGAAGGCGTTTTTCTAGCTCTTTGACCCGTCGCCTAAGGATTTTGTTATCCCGTTGGATAACAGCTAACGAAGTCCTGAGCTCAACATTCTCCGAGATCATTTCCTTAACACCTTCTTCGGAGAGTTTGTCAAGACGATCAGAAAGAAACATAACCTTAAGTTTAAGATCGAAGTTCTCCTTCGACAGGCGCTCAATCGTACTGGACTGTTCCTTAAGAGTAAGGTTTTTGCCGCTACGAGTGTTGGTGGTAGTGGCGGTGCTGGTATTTGCGGGCGTATAACTAGACAAACTCGACACTTTCCTATAGGGCTGTTGAATAGGGGTTGCCAGGCCACCTTTTGTTTTGTATTCTTTAGCCAGAGACTCGGGCACCTCGACGTTGCGAACGTGTCTGGCAATAACAGTGTCGGTGGGTGCCATCAGAGCACCTTTTCTAGGCTTCGGGGTCGCGAGAAGATCGATAGGGCGGTCGGGCATAGGGCTCTCAACTTCCTCGAGCGGCTCCAAGGCGTCTGGCCGAATGGGGTCCGACGGTTCGTCGAACCCGGATGCCATGCTACCAATACTTACGGATCGAGATAGAGTGTTACTGGCACTACGCGTTAAGCCAAATGCTGGCAAAGCACCTCCAGATTGGAGAGCATAATCAGCACCTAATCCAACCGTAGCATCGCTTTCAACATCTTCGTTGCTAAGGAAGGAAGACGTTGAAGAGCGCTGGCTGCCATGTCTACTGCGAAGAAATTTAGGACGCGTGCCAACCTTCAGAGAGTTCGAGACCGCGCTGTTGTTATCGCCTGATGATTTACTCAAGTCCTGATCAGAATTCTGCTGGTGGAGACTAGAAGCTCTGGAAGTTGAACTCTCCCTGGGTATATCGAGGGCTACGCTGCCGTGCGACGGAGCATCGCGAGCGTCATTTTCGTTCTGCGTCTCCTCGTCGGTACGTTTGCTAGCCGCAGAGATAGCTCTCGACACGCTACGAGCCGCGGCAGCAGTTGTAGGAGAGGATAAATTCTCTAGCACAGACGTAGAATTGCCAACTTCGATACCATTGGACTCATCATGCCCGCGCGAGGGGAGGGGGCTATGTTCGGGTGTTAGACTTGGTACCACAGCGTTGACATTGGATGAGGCTAAGTCGGTATGAGCATCGTGATGCAGGTCGGGTTGGTCGTGCGAACCGGAGAGTTGAGGGGATTGAGGCACTGCACTGGCTGCAGGGGTAGGTGTAAAAGAAGGCGATAAGAAGGGCGCGGATGCGGGTGTGTTCTTCTTCGTAGTATCGAAGAGGTATGTATCGTCGATACCTTTTTCGGGACTAGGATTTCGAGTTGGCGAAAAAGGAGGTAGAAAGCTGGACTCGACATCTTCTAAATGAGCTCTAACTTGCTGTTCTTCGGTGATGGAATCGAGGTGCTTATCATCGTTGTCTAGACGAGTGGTTTCGGCAAAGCTACTATCATCCGGTGGCGTACGAAGAAGCACCGGAGGATTATTTTCCTTCCTAAACAGGGGAGTATCTGAAGGAGTAGCGGAATCCTGATGATCGGGTTCGGGAATGGCTTCGGTCGCGTCGACGGAAGTCTGGTCGATGCGACTCTTGTCTTCGGCCATGATTTTAGCGACTTGGATTCAGCGACTCGGTTTTCGGCGGCTGGGACTCGGCTGGGATTCGGTCTCAGGCGGGCAACATCCAAGTCCAAGTCCCGACAACGATACCATGGACCTAAGAGTAGGTAAAATGGGGATAGGCAATATTGTATTTATGATTAGTCAATGCCGTCAGCAGAGAAAATAAGAATGGCACGCTGGTGGCACGGAGCAATGTCATATGGGTGGTATTGGTGTTGGAGTTGGTGTCGGCAATATAGGCATATGGTACGTATGTAGAGTTAGGTAGACTTGAGTTTTAAGGAGATGCGAAATAACAAAATGCGGAATGCGGAATGCGGAAGTGTTAAAGATTGACAGGTTCAGAATTAACTTCTTGAGGTCGAAATCTTATGATATCGATAAGTACCTAACTTGACCTAAGGTACCTAAACGGTAAACTAAACCCGTACTATCGCAGTATCGCTGTTGCTTAGGTATTGTACTACCTAGTAGGTATAGGAGGTAGGTTAGGTAGGTATTTGTTTTCTTCCTCTATGTCGGCAGGACCGTTGTCTTAGCGCTTAAAACCCCTAAAACGCTTAAACGTGCCCCTTGCCAGGCGTTGCTAGGACACCAGCAGGAGCCAGCAGGATGATCCACAGGTATCTGTTATATGTTTCAATTGCCCAATAACCCTCTGAGAACTCAGTTAGAAGTGCCTAACCTAACCTGCTAACCCACGTCTTATTAGATGTTCTGCATTTACATTAGCTCGGCATATCCTGCATCTTGACTGACACCGCACACTTGCAGATTAAAGTGAAAGTTTGACAAGTACCGGGAAATAAACCTCAACCTCGACACGTTTTCCCGATTTGAATTTACCTGATATTTCGGTATTAAACCAGCTTCATTTCCTTAGGGACATCATTACCTTTAATATTAGCCCCCGTACCCGACATCTTGACAAGTTGATGAAAGATGCCCGGTACAACTCAGAGATATTTCCAGTCCCGAAACCCGGCGTCCTGGTTCTTCGAAATTGTTCGTCTCATTGGCTACCAGGTACCAGACTCTGGGTAAACCATGGATTTGAAAATATCTACGGACTGGGATTAGGTACGTATGGGTCTTTTTTCTCCTATCCGATCTGCAAATCATCGACCAAGTGGCAAGTACCTGTAGTACGCACGCAAGCATTCAATGACTAGAAGTCTTCCATATATTCATTGCCTTATGTATGGAAACCAGATACTATGTACTTCCACCAACTAAAGAATGTTAGAGAGTTACTGAATACAGGTACATATATCTAAGAGGTACCTATAAGGTAGAATGAAATATCAAGTAACCACCACTTATGGATCAACGTAGATCACGAACTTCTAAATTACCCAAATTAGTAGGTGGGGTTAAGTTTGTAAGTGCCCGTTGCTAGAAGATGCGCTACATGTAGGAGGCACCATACAATACACGGTATTGTACTTTGTATCTCATATTTCTACGAGGGTAGGTTACCTAACCTACTTCCTACCTAAACTTACCTAAGGTACCTGATAGGTGGTATTGTACTCCTCATGCCCGGCTCGCCTCCCAAAATCAACTTATCAACTTATTGTGTGCCTAGGACCTGCGTAGCTGTTAAAGACTAACGCCTATACCTAACATATTATTTCTGTTTTCCTATCATCTTACCATTATCTACTGAATACCTCTAATTTTATATTTCTCTTTTGTCGACTTTCCCTAGTCTAATCCCAAAGATGAGGTGGGCGTCCTGGGTGTTCGTCTTAGAGGTAAGACTACCTAAAGAAGGCATTACGTTTCACGACACCAAAATGAACAACGCTAATATCAAATATCGATAGGACTATATCGTCGAAAAGGTATTGTCTAGCTAGTCCTCGTAATGGCTCTCGGATGATCGCCCTAACATACCGCCTTCCCCAGCTTCTCCGATCCCCGACCTTTCAACGAGGAGTTAGACGCGTCCACCAAACCGTAGTGGATATCAAATACGGCCGTGATCCGAGCGAGCCGCTGCGGGAAGGAGAAGCTACCCGTAGGCGCCATCGAAGTATAGTGCTAAAATATTAAAGTCTGACCGCAAATGAGTAGGACACCCAACGAATTCTAGGTTAAAGGGGTTCATGTCACACTTTGCTGAAGAACTTCGCAACCAACTCCGCGATACAACTCGTCCTAAGAAGTGAACTATTTGGAAGGAATGACCATATTGATATCAACAGGATAAACATCCGCTCCTTCGAAGGTCGGAAGCGGAAGATATGTCGACCAACTAAAATTAGGGAAATGACGCCGGCTACTCAATTTGAGAGGAGTCGTAGCTCGTCTTGGTATTCAGAATCATGTTGAACAAAGACGCCCAGCCACCGACACAAAGCCACATATACTATGATGGAAAGATCGCATGTCTGGCGTATTGGAGCTTCTGGTCCAAGACCTAAAGTTAACCTCGTAGCGGATCTGGCGCGAAAGTATGGATTCTAGGGGGGGTGGTCCCATAAGTTCCTTACTATCCGTCGAGGTGGTACTCCATGTCTGCGCACATCTATCGGTAGAGGTTAGGACCTTTAAAGAAGAGTGCTTCGTTTCGCATACTTTGGCAGTGTCTTCCGAGGTTTCGAAACTCACACATTGCTTCAACTTCAGCTCCCAGCTTTCATTGAAGCTAGACCTCTGAATGCGTAATCTATACAAGGGACATAGTTAACATTTCGCAGCTATAACTCAGAACCGTACGGCCCGTCAGACTCGGAATAGATTTATAAGACGAATATGAAACGATACTGCAGCACAGTTACCAATCGATACCATTGATATATCGTATTGATATATCATGCGGTTTTCCACCTTCACATTAAGACCACTCCAAAACATATATTCCAGTTCCCATTCGCGTGCATTCTCAGAGAGGAGGTGTGCACGATAGGCTGGTAGCGATGCCACTTTGGAAAGCCTGGCGCAGACTCTCAATGCTGCTATAGCAGCCCAATGCGCATGTCACCAACGCTCCGAAGAAGTAGAATATGTTAAATGCGTTAAAGAGCGGCCTCCTCATAAAACCCCGTCCCCATCGTTTCCATCCATGATCCACGTAGTTATACGTGCCAGTTGTGGGGTCGAAGCGCTCTTCATCCTCGATCATTGCGTCCTTTTTGACCCAGTAGCCGATGGCCAACCACGCTGGGAAGGTGTAAGTAAAAGATAGGATGAAGAGTGCGCCAACCAGACCAACGATGTACGAAAACTGCGGCACAGCTGCTGCTATGATAAATGCAACCGCCCAATATAATGGAATCAGTGCAGCCCACCAAATCTTCCCCTTTTTGGTTGTTAACTCCGGAAAGCCCAAGAGTTCGTGGAAAACTTCTATATATACAACCTTGAGGCCGATGTTGCTGTATAACACGGCTGCGATAAGATTGCTAACTAAACTCAAGATGTTTCCAGCTGTCTGCATTCCATACGCCGCAATACCTTGGACTGCTGGGTTATAGGTGTATTGGCCTTGGTATGAATACATGAAGACGCCGAAGAAGATATAGATGCCGTAGATAAACATCTCTGCAATAAGCAAGCTTTTCCAGAAGTCCAAGGGGTGTCTGTGGGCAGCGTCAGCATAACCATCATAATCTTTGGCGGTTACTTGATTCGCAAATCGGAAATACCTCATCTCAGCCAGGAGAGCGGCAAAGAGCAGCGCTCCCCCGTATGCGTATACAGCTATGTTTAACCCGTTCAAAGAAGCGACGAATCCCACCCCGCCTGTGGCCATTCCTGGAGGTGGCGTCCCGGCATAAGTTCGAATAGGCATACCCGATGGCAAGCCAAAGCTTGCTTCCACTGCGGCATAGTTCGGACCGTATACCACAGACGCCATACTTGCGATCTGGTGAGCAATGGCAAGTTCATAGTAGTTTTATGTATGTGTCCTTACCATAGTATTACGAGTGCGACGTTCAACCAGACGGAAAGATTAGCAAGCCAACCGAGCCGCTGCAGGGTCCTGATTTGGCCCAGGACGAAGCCTGCAGCCATGAATATAATCATGCATGCCACAAAACAAATCCCTATACTCTCCCCGGACGAGCCGCGACTTATTTGGGAGATGCTCTGTCCATTGCTCAAGATAATAACAGAAACGGTTAGCAGCAGTTGAAGAGCTTGCGCGAGGTTAATGAAGTGACGAGCCCAGCTACCAAATATACGATTGAAGAAGTCACCGTATCCTCGACATGGAAATCTGTCAGAGTCTAGTCCACAAAAGACGTTCCAGATGATCCAGCCAGAATAATATGACATGGCGCCGAATACAGTATACAACGCAACACCCGGACCATAGCCCAGCTGCGCGAATGCCCAGCTGAAAACAAAAATTCAGCTTCGATTCCCATTATTTAAATGCGTTGAAACTTACGGAGCGCCAGTTGGACCTAATATATCCGTTGTAATCAGGTAGAAGATTGTACCCCAACTTGCTGTTCTCAACGCTCGATTGGCACTTTGTCGCTGAGCCTCCGTGATGCCATTTCCTTTGCCACCAACCCCGGTAACTTGGAACTCCCCATTGCGGCGGTCTTTCTCATCTCTCACGTTGGAGAGGGAGGCAGTTACTTCGGTAGATACATCTTGTTCGATGTGGCCGCTGGAGAATCTCCCTTTAATGACGCTCTTGATCGTTTGTGGCCCACGGGCAACCTTGTACCTAGCGTTGGCTTCTTTCTCCTGGGCCCGAGTGATTGCGGCATAGTACATGTACTCTTCGAAGCTGACCCCGCGATTATTCGTATATTCGTCCCCTACCGCATCATTTGTGCCGTTTTCCACCTCCAAGGACAACTTTCGAGGATCGCCGCCGTCGAGAGCAAGATTTGCTGGTGGGTTAGTAGCCATTGCAATGGGATATTCTCATATGCGTATAGATTACAAACAGCAGAGAAGAATCGGATTTTCAACTTCCAACCGATACTTCTCATAACTTCCTAATCTACCTACTTTATCTCCCATCTCCCAGGGCCGTCACCAAAGGATTAAGTATGGTTACATAGAGACTGTCTATCCTACCGGGATGCTGCATGCAGCCAGCCAGCATAGTAAACTGCAGGTCTTTGCAACCTTCTCATCTCAGAACTATGGCCCGACCTATCTTGTGCGATTTTTATTCGAGAGAATTGAGCAATCACTCAATTCATCATTATCTCGTTACCTACCTCCCATCTAGATAGGTAGGTACAGTACCTAGGTACCTATGTAGGACCTAGGTAGCTATTCCAAATCGTACTCGCTGCATTAAATATCCGGATACTACAGAAACAATCGCGACGCAAGATTCCATAGCCAACGTGATCCCCATGCTTATCTCCTCGCCCTCCAGTATCAACAGCAATTACTAGGACTTTTTTTCGAGGCTTACGCAGTTCCATGTAACCCTTCTATAGCGCAAAGCTTCACAGCAATAGTTGAGCGTTTCAGGCACCGGCATTGGCTGACCGTCTCTTGGCTTACAGGAGTGGTTTAGGGTACGATGTAGCATATGATGTATGCTTCTCTTACTAGTCTTAACACAGATTTATAGACATGTATAATTATCCGGAGCAGCCAATTCGGGTTTTCGGTGAAACCTTCTGTTTCTACCCTAGCTATCTTACATAAGTACCACGTAGGTAGGTTAGGTACCTTAGGTAGGCATCTATCACAGCCGGGTCAAATCTTGTGGGTTCCGCTGGCGTTGAGAATTGTAATTCAAGCTCCTGTGCGTTGGTACTCAGCCTACCTCCTAACGTTCTTTAGGTGCTATAATTTTTGAACCAACATTTATATACATACCAGGTACCTGACAGCGTTAGAAGGGAAATACCAGTTAATGATCATCAAAGTACGCCCTTAGAATCCCAGAATCTCATTCGCCATCGAAGTAATTGCTTTTGCTCCGCTGGTATCCGTCGCGTCTGCTACTAGCCTTTCAAACCCGAAAGCCCGTAACCCGTCGGTGGTAGCATACGAGCGAAGATGCAATTGGGTCTGCCTATTGATGTGGTCGGCTTCTCCTCTCCCGCCCGGAAAATCAGGGCCAGGGGTACCGTTCAAGAAAGCATCCCTCTGCCGTACTAGATACCTTGCATTCATCTCGGTCAATGGGCAGACTGGTATATACAACACACTGGAGTCCGACTTTCCCTTGTGAACTTTATCAACGGCATGGATGGCTTGCAAAACGGTTAGCCTTCGAATCGCGGAAGTATACAGGCTTGCTTTCACTTACAATCGCAATGCCATATTACATAGTCACCTGGCTTGATATTCGGGACGTGCACCATAGTATTCCCAAGGTCCAGGTGCGGGTGAAGAATATCATCTAACTCTTGACCGTGTCCAGGAGTCGCGCCATGGAGCTCGCTCGTCATGTCGGCGCCTGCATATTCCCAATTCTCTGCCGCAAGGTAAGCTTCAGGAGATGCTTGACCAAGATCCTTAATGGGACGGAAAAAGGGACGAAGTAGTAAATATGCGGTCGAGAGTTTGATCGCCGGAGTCACCATTAGCGTTCCCTCGAATGGCTGTGTGGTGCTCATACTCAGCCATCCTTGGAACATTCGGAACATCGAGCAGGCGCCTAGCCCGTTGTAATTATCAACGACAGCGGATACTCGCGTGCTAGCATCCCATGGGTCGTACTCTTCCCAAGAGCCTTCAAATATCTTATCATACACACCACCACGGCCATATCCGTTCAACTCCCATCTTTCGACACTGCCTCCGTCGATATGCGGGCCCAAGGCAAAACTAGCATCACCAGGTTGCCTGATACGGAGTCTGTCGGCATATGATAATGGCTGCGACGTAGATATAGGGCTTTCGGGATCCGATGTGCGCCACAGTTTCATGAGAGCCACTTGGACTTTGAGCAGGTTCGGATGTGCCCGAGCACGAAGTTGCGGTGCAGACCAATATAATTCATATACTTGAGGGTCGTGCGGCGGGAAAGCTAGTCTGGGGTCAGATACTGGAACATTGATGTTCGACTTTTTCATGGAGCGTACCTTTTGTTTGGGGATTCTGTCTCACATACTCTTCGATTTCATATTTGAACGACCGGGCCTCATCTTCCGGAAGCACCCCCCTGATAACGGCGACGCCTCTCTTCTCAATTTCGCCCCGGAATTTGGCAAGATCTTTGTCTAAACTTTTAAAACTGACACTTGGAATAACTGCAGGACCTCCTTCGGCGATTGTTTTGTTCTCTCGTTTGAGCTCTGCGAGAAGTCTATTCCAACTATCGATTACATGATTCTCAAGACCGTGAACCAAAGTTTTCTTAAGCTCCAGGAATTTTTGAGGAAGAGGCGGCCTAGCAGTGCCAGACAACGAGACAAAGGAGTCAGAAATATCGCCCTCCCTCTTAGTTTGCGTCTGGGCAGCGGTTGTCATGACGGATCGTACCTGATGAGTGGTTCTTATCAACGGAGTGCGCAGCATAGTATTAATGATAGTAAAGCACCTATCGAAGGGTACCATTAACTTCACGTTGGGCTGGGGGGGTTTGAGGAACAGGTTGATCACATCTGCCCTCCTAACATATGATACGGATTACACCACAGAGGATGGGAGCAGACAGGTTTTATCATATTATTTGGGCCTTGCCATATACCTACCTAGGTAATTCGAATATCGATTCTGCTTGAATATCTTACCTATCCGGGAGAAGATATCGGAATTTCCTACTTAGGTTCCTGGAATCCCGACAGCAAGCGTAACGGCGTTAGTGCAACGCACCAAGAACGGGGATAAAGTCATGGTCCAAGCACCTTATGCCGGCGGTTTTTGGCATAAAATGGCGATATAAAATGAATGTAAATGTAAGGTAGGTATATTGATGTACGCTAACGCCTTTCTAATTGCTCGTAAGTAACTAATATAGTATAAGATTATATAGTATAATATCCCGTAAAAGTCTCCTTGCCAGCTACCTAAGGTACCTGTTATCCAGTTACATAACGTCAAAGATTCTTAGCTGGGATGGGCTGTCACGGAGTTACCCAATTAGGCTAATCCGACTCCGCCTCCCTCAACGTTCATACGATGTCTCCTAGACAGCACAGAGTACGTGCAAACTACTCTGTGCAAACCTCGCGGTCGGTTTGTTCAAAAGAGTTCCGCGAAGATTTAGCATACGCATAGCACAGGAGACGCCTGCTTTATATCTGAGTAACTGTCTCAGATAGGTACATATCATTTATCTCAGGGTCCTTTCGGTTATTACCATCTTAGGCCATTCGCCGACATCCTGGTTCCCCTTTCCTTCCCGTACTCCGCCTTATTGGGAACGTCCTGCTGAAAGTTATCTCTTTTAGAAGCTAATACTACTCGGGATCTGCGTCGGAGTTAACGCTTCTGGGATCTCGCCGCGAGTCATGGCCATGGTCAAATTCATCGAGTCCGACTCGACAGGTTTACCCCTTAAGAGAAAGCAGGTTGCTCAGGCCTGTGCCAGGTGCCGACGCCGGAAGAAGAGGTGTTTTCATAATCAAGGTAACGAAGCCCACAACAATGGCCCACGCAGTTCAACTTCTGGGGACGGAGATACTACGGCTTGTAACCCAATTGGCCACTCTACTCCTTCACGATGCGAGCCTCTCCCAAGTCGTGATAATGCTCATAGTCCAGAGCGGCGCCCTTCTAGATTCGTTGGCGACCTGAGCCCCGAGGCAATCCTCATGGAGGCTACAAGTCTCTGCTCGACTCGCGATGTTTCGGTGAGGGGGGGCTTGGGGATCTGGCAGCCCCAAGCACTCGACTTAGATAAGGCGGCTAGTCCGCTCTCCTCGACGGCGCCATCGAGACAAGCCGTTCAGGACATGCTCAGAGCATACGTGCGGAATCACTGCCTTCCCTGTTGCCCTCCACCGTCAGACTACGCAATCCTCCGTCGCATCTACTTTGATAAGCTAGATCCTATCTTCCCTATTCTCGGCAGCCATTCTACAGTTCGATCCGAGGACGAGATAAAGGAGAAGATATTCCAGCAAACTGTTAGCCTAGCAGCTGCTTCCGACCCAGAAGCTACTCGCCATCTTCGTTTAAATTCCGAGGGGCCAATTCTCTCTCGGCATGAATTCTGCAATCTACTCTCAGATTCGATCCAAACGACTATTGATGCCGGCCTCATCACAGACCGCATATTCTTAACTCGCATACTAGCCGCCTTATCATTATACATGCAACCTCACAACTCGGACGAAGCTGATATCCCAGCGTTGCTCAACAGTCGTGCAGTTCACCAAATGCATACTCTAGGACTGCAGATGGCTTCGGAAGAAAGTCACGCGAATAGCCAAGCTACGCAAACGCTACTATGCTGTCTCTGGGCGTTAGACCGCCTCAATGGTGCATTTTACGGACGTGCTTGTCTCATTCACGAACGAGACATCGGGTGGAACCTAGACGATTGCATCGCAACGCAAGCGCCACTCTTTCGGTTGTTCTTGATGATTATTGGCCTTCTCGATAAGGTTATCGCTTTATATCGCCCTGGAAATCGGAAAGAAAAGGAATTCATCGTTGAGCTACCTATCTTCGAGCAGATGATCGTTGATGCAGGAGCGGTTCGGGCCCCAAGTTCATGTCTAGGTAAGGAAAAAAGCCCTCAAATTCTAAAGGAAAGCTTGCTTACTTCTAGTTAGCCTCACTCGAAATATTTTATCATTCGGTTGCCATACTTTCAAGCCAGTCGCCGTCCGAAAACCGGTCCACGGCCCTCCCGGCGCCGGCGACGAACAGCCGTCGATCCTTAGCAGCGGATCGTATCACCTCCATTGTCGGGCGGGAATTCATGGGTCAGCTTTCGTACTTGCCTATAATTCCGTATGGCGTGTCTTTGTCGCTCAGTGTATCTTACCGGAAAATGCGGCATAGCAACATACCGATGTTTAGAAGCAGAGGCAAACAATCCTTCGTGGCAAATACGTCGCTGCTTAAATCAATGGACGACACTTTTTGGACTGCTAAGACTACGGTGGCAATGGCCGAACAAGTTCTCCAAGAGATGGACAAGGCGGTCGCGTCGTTAACACAGGAGACCGGCTTAATTGATACTTCGAAAAAGGGGGAGGCGGCACAGCGAGATCGAGAACCACCACCTCTAAGCACCGATGACGCTCTTAATAATTACAATACTAACCAAGGAGCGATGGACTTATCAATCCTTGAGGGAATTCCGGATCTTGATGTTTTCGGCCATTTCGACCCAACTTTTGACTTAGGCGCCGTTGACGCCGCTCTCGAAGGAAATCTCGACTTTGGAGCCTCTTCTAACTGGTTTGATTGGCAACAACTGTGGGGTTAGATGTTGAGTAGACGCGTATCGAGTGGTTACATAGCATCAGCCATGGTGTGTTTGGATTATCAGATGTATATAATGCACACCTACCCAGGTAACCTTACACAGACCAAGATACCTGTATATATCTTCTGTACACATTTATATCAGGTATGTAATTACACTACAGGTACCTAATAATTTAACTTCTAATATGCCGTAAGTACCTAAGATAGGTAGGTACCTGGTACCCAGTGATAATAAATCCCTGCCATCCAACATTTGACACATGCCGCATACCTGAGACTAACTCAAGCCTAACATTTCTTGCATTCATACTTAGGTACCTTAGGTACCTACCTAACCTAAGAACTCCATAATACGTCCGGGGGCGGAAAGGAGGCGAATTAAGCAGACACCATGAACTATCAAGTGGCGATGATGGAAATCAGCACTCCAACCGGAATACAATACGACAAACCCCTCATCGCTCAAACATATTTGGAGAAAACTGGTGCCCTGTCGCGGAGGATCAGAGAAGTGTTCTTATAGATAGCGGAATCTAATAAGTTGTCCCTCAGTACTCGATATGGTCATCTAACCTGGGCGGCTACATTTGAATGGAGGTAGAGGCTAAGATATAATAGCTAGGTACCTTACCTTACCTACCTAACCTACCTACCTAAGCTATCACTTCCAGGTATTCAACCTCGCCCTGTGTGGAATTCGGTCCGCGAGCACGACATGATATTTGCGCCCATAGTACGGATTAGCTTGGATTCTGATCCGAAATGGCAATGCATGCAGCCATGGCCGTTAGCCTCGCGCAAATCGCCAAAACTATCGATCATTCCTTGCTGCACCCGGCCATGACCGATAAAGAAATCCTTGCCGGCCTGGAGATAGCTAAAAGGAATAAGGTCGCTGCGGCATGCGTTAAACCTTACAGCATCTCTGCGGCGAGGGATGTCCTCGACGGTTCTGGCGTCCTAATATGTGCTGTCGTGGCGTTTCCTCACGGGAGCAGCACTACGGCTATCAAGGTCCTCGAAGCCGAAGATGCTGTGAAAGCAGGCGCGCACGAGATTGACATGGTGGTCAACGTTGGCAAAGTTCTGGGGGGTGATTGGGAATACGTGGCCAACGAGATTCGCGCCGTGAACGATACCGTTTTGAAGCACGGCGCCATCCTCAAGGTCATATTTGAGAATAGCTTTCTTCAAGACGAGCATGTTGCGCATCTATGCAGAATATGTGCTGCCCTATCCGTGGCTTTCATAAAGACGTCAACCGGCTTCGGATTCGTGAAGCAACCTGACGGCTCATACGCGTCTCAAGGCGCTACTATACCGCGCCTACGGCTGATGAAGGCCAACATTGGGCCAACTGTTCAGATCAAGGTTGCTGGCGGGATACGGACCCTAGAAGAAGTAATGGGGGTTATATCACTTGGCGTAACTCGAATCGGCACGTCAGCCACCGCGGCCATCCTCGAAGAAGCGATCCGCCGGGGAATCAATACACCGCCTGGTTTCGCATTAGTATCCCCGCTAGATACTAGATACTCCTAACAGTTCTACAGCTGGTTCCTATATACGGGGGGGGCGGGGGGGTTCATATACGACAAGTTTACTTAGGCAGGCACTAAATAAGAAGTGATACTGAATAGACCACCAGGACTTGGGGAAAGAAGTTATCGGATTTAATTTTATCTTCCCGTCTATATCAAGGCAACCCAAATTTTGATCTCCTATACTCCGGCTAACATCTTCGAATCGGACGGCATCGTTACCATCACGACAGCTCCCATCCTTCAAGTTGGTACGTCAGGAAGTTTGCTTTGCCCACCGGCGCACCTTTCATCCTTAGAATATCGTACAGGGTGGTTAAATGGAAATAAACCGTCGGCACGACAAATTTGGTAACATCTGTAAATTTGTTTGTTAATAGGTGTTACGTATTGTCAATATAAGTTTCAAAGCCGTGTCAAAATAGGCACAGGTTTATAGGAAAAGGGGGCCAATATTGCTTTGAGTACGTACTACAATTATAGTTAGCTTTCGCATCAACAAATATAATACCTATAGCCATGTGTACTTACCAATCTATAGCCTTTTGAGTGGTTTTTCTTGGGCCTACGCTGAACGAGACGGTGTCAAGCTCTTTTCCGTTGACAGCCTCTGGCTTGATATCAGCAAGCGACTTAAGGGCTTGGGCGATGTTGCTGTAGTTCTCCTCAAGAGACCATTCACCCAACTCCGTGGGCACTAATTCGCTGCCGGCTAACAGGTGGGCTGCCGTTCTGGCAAAATACACGGTGATGCCGACCTGCTTTGAGAGCGAGAACATATCCGGGGCCAAACGGGCAGTGAGAAGCTCCTCTATAGGCGTACCGGTGCTTTTCGAGTACTCTTCGGCTTTCTTAAGAAGGTGTTCCTCGGTTCGGAGGACCCGAGTCAGGACGGGGATTGTCAGATCGTACAAAGAGGTCATGATGAACTAGTAAGTCGATTGTGATAGAAGCGCCAAGGCGATAAGGTTTTCGAAACAGGTACGCAAAGTATTTAGCAAGAAGGTAGAGTTGGAGAAAAAAAAAAAAAAAAAGAAGTTGGCAGATGCTTTATGCTGTCGAAATATACTAGATATGTTCAGATATTCAGGCTAAAATAGTAGGGTGGGTTTTGTTCTAGATGGCCTTCCTTGACTAATATTTTATACCTCCATTAGTCTGCGGTTTCATTACATCAGTAATATCAGTAATATCAGTTAGAGGTATGCATATTTCTCACCGCCGGACCTGAAAAACGGACGAAGCGTCGTCGTCATAAATCTCTTACCACAACATATTATATGGAGTAACATTTCTAATCCGCTGCTTATAAATTCCCCGTCAAGTATCTCTATTAATAATGTCGTTCTACCTTATTCTATATTATATTTTTTGATGCATGGCCGTATCTACGGCCGAAACATATAGATACATAGGTAGTATTTGGAAACATATCATTACCTAATGGTAAATTCTGGAATTATGCATTGGCAAGCTATGTGGAGTTCAAGGTTAGGTAGCGACATAGTACGATATGTAAAAATAGGACTAGTTAATAACTTTAGATAACTAATAAAAGCATACCTAACTATAGGTACCTGTGTATAGACTAATAGGTCTTATTGGTGCATTGGTCAAGGGCGCCAGGTGTGTGTAGTTCCAGAAAAAAAAGAAAAAAAAATTGTCGCAAGTAGTCCTCCTAGTTACAAATAAATATTCGGCCAGATATGCCTGTTGAATATTACTTAATCCTTTGTGATCCAAAGCCAGATGACGGGCTTCTCTCCTGTACGTCCTGTTCGCGAACAGTCCCAGCCCAGATCTTTCAGGGTTTGGGCCATGTCAGGTTCGTTATCACCCGAGAAGGTGACCCCCCTATACCATTTCCCGTTCCCTCCTTGAATCACCTCGGTGACCTTGTTCTTCTTTGGGCATGGGTTTAGAGCTCCAAATCCCGCCAAAAGCTCCGCCAACGTTGTGTTGATAGGTACGTGGTAAGCACCGAAGTTAATCGACATGCCCTCGGGGAGTCGCCATGGAGCAGTCGACGATTTGAGAACATGTAGCTTCGTGTGTTTGGGCGGGAAGAAGTAGTTGTATCCGGGCTCACAGCCGACACCACCGGTAGAGTTGTTCAAGTTCAGAGCCGGAGCATCGAGATTGACAACCGGGTGAGGGTTAGGCAGACGAGGTCCCTGGCTGGGAAATACAGGAACCGGGTGGTTATATCCATTCTGAGGGATGACGTAGACCGGAGCCTGGCTGTTTGGTCCAGGGGCAACACCGGCGGCTAGACCAGGGACGCCCTGGCTCGGGATGTAGTTGTATCCACTGGTACCGGCATAGACGACGCCGGGAATGACGTTGCCAAATGAAGGACTAGCATTCGGGTTTCTAGCCTGGTCTTGACCAAACTGCGGGTGCCACCCATTCCCAAATCCCTGGGCGGCCATGATCGGTGTGAAGGTAGGGTTATAATACGTGTATTCCCCGGGATAGCCTACGGCGGGAGTGCAAAATTCGCCTAGGAGCTCTCCCTGCAGTTCAGTACCGATATCCCCGCTAAGAACGCTACCAAGGTCAAATTCTGTTTCTGTATTATTTCTAGAATATTCGTTTTGTTCGTCTACTGAAGAGGTTTCTGCCATAAGGGTTAGCACGAGTATAAATACAGAAAATGATAGGGGTGGTAGCTCACCAGCCGCGTCAGGTTCGTTGGATATTAGAGACACAGTGAGTCTAGGGGCGTTATCGTCTCTACACCCGATAAAAATCTCGATATGCCAGAGCTCACAATCGTCGGAGTTGTAAAATGAACCAACTACTAGCCAAGCCCAGGATCGTTGAGATGGATGAATCCAGAAATGTTGACCAACAACGAGCTTCGTAGCCGGGTAAGGCAGTTCGATAGGAGTTTGTCGAGAATCCAGCTTGAAAGATTATCAGAATATGTCCGTTTAAATAACCTCAAGTAAAACGTAAGAGTCTGTGTGGAGAGTAGCGGAAATTTGTAGTGAAGACTGTAGATTTCCGCCCAGGACAGTGTCACAGCTGCTGAACTGCTGAGATAATACCGTGTTTGTTTTCTCCCACAGTACATCCAGCTAATAAAGAAGGGACTGAAATGTAGGATGGTAGACTATTCACATTACCAGACGAATAAGGGTGCTTTATTGGCCAAGGGAATCCCTTGAATAACCTAGTGGTAGAGACACAGGGTGAATCGTCTAGTATTCACCACCTGCGAAGTTACTCCTCCGTCACGACTCTTATCCGAGCGGCGATCTTCTTGAGTTGGAAAGTTCAGCTTGTGATGTACCGAGACCAGCCAAGACTCTCAATATCCAGGTGCGGAATCAGAACATAGACCGTAAAGAATGAACGTATAACCTCCTGAATGAAGTAGCGGCCGTCGCGTACCGCAAGAGAGCACGGCGTTATGGCGTTCGACATTATAATTCGGAATGCCAAGAGCTATGCGGAAATTGTCAATGAATGGAAAAGTGACAAAAAAAGAAGTCTGACTCATTTGTCCTCCATAAATCAACGTTAAGTCGAGTGAGGTTAGGTACCCAGTCACCCAAATCCAATACTAAGTGGTACAAGTGAGCGTAAGGACAATGACTTGTAAGTTGCAACAGACGTGGGGATATCACTGGGCAACTAATCCGTAGAAACATTCGCTAGGGAAATGATCATTTAAATGATCTCGGCTTCCCATGACATGTACCATTTTTGCAGACGTCGTTAAAAAATAACCTTATCACCAGATTTAGTTAGTAGATCAAGGTCGGGACGTCTCATTGGAAGTTTGCTCCGCCACTCGAGATGTGCAACCATCCTCCTCAACCTCCCAAAAAAAAAAAAAAAAGGAGGGGCGGAGAGAGAAAAGGGATGAAGCACAATGCGACCATAGTCAAGAGACTTTAATCCCCTGATTCGATGTCGCAAGGACTCATACTAAGCAAGCTGTACCAGCAAAATTTCCCAACAATACGGCTATACCAATTCTTAAGCTTAGTCCGCAACGTTGATTTCTTCTTCAACCATTCGAATCGCACCACCCTTCCTCTCCTCTGTTACTTCGCTTTTAATACGACGTCGTTTTTCAGTTTCAGACACAAGTCCTTTGAGATACACCTCAGCATGCACGGTTGCACTGTAGGCGATAGCTGTCCAGCTCCAAACGTTTCTCTTCTCCGGGTCGGCCCCAGCAGCAAGCAGCGTTCGTAAAACAAGGAGGTTGCCGTTACTGCTAGCGAAATGTAGAGCAGTATTCCCATCAACATCCGCATTTTGCACCGCATTTTGGGCTCCTCCCGGGGCGTACGTGAGAAGAATCTGAAGCACCGTGTCGTGGCCCCCCATGCTAGCCTCCATAATAGCATCTCTACCTTGGATATCACGTCGAAGAATGGAAGAGGGATCACTCTCGGAAAGGAACAAGACAACTTCAGTATGACCTGCGGCAGCGGCTAGCATCAAAGCTGTTTGATGCTTGTCGTTCAAAGCCGGCGTAGGAAGTTCGTGACCAAAGGCAACTAAGACCTTGCATACCTGGAGGTGGCCGAGGCTGGCGGCAAGGTGGAGACTCGAATTGGAGAGACCCGTTGCGGAATGGTCCGGGTTATGGATCAAACCCGGATGGGATTTTACAATGCGACGAACAAGAGAGGCGTCATTACTATGGACTGCTCGCCGTAACCTTTCGGATGGCTCGATCCTGAGGTTCGTCATGTCAGCTTTTGCGGAAAAGCATCACAATGCGCATGGGCAAGGAGAATGATACTTACATGATGTTTTAACCTACTGTTAGGTACTTAGTTGAACACTATCCGCTAAAGACGCGACGGTGTGATGATACGGAGCCGACGAGTCAGACCACGGCACCACCGGGCGAACGCCGGCGCATAAGGTAAACTTACCTTACCGTCTAGCAGGCGGACTTAGTAGACCAGGTAGATGCTCGCAAGCTGAAAATTGCTTTTACTTGACAGACTATGCGACTGAGACCTTTAATGGTGTAGAACCGACGAGGAATGCGATAATTATCGCGACGCTTGTGCCAAAATAAAGTCGAGATGGCTTGTAAAGTCTCAGACAAACATGAGCAGAAAGCTGACGTCGTCTTGAGTTGTACATTGATTACAATTTACAATAGGTACATCAATACCTACTTACCTAGGTAGGTACAATGGGTACAATACCTAGGTGACAGGTCCCTTCCCCCGCAAACGGGCAGGAGGTTACCTGGCTGCCTGGGTAGGTACAACACCCATTGTAGGTAAATACCTAACCTGAGAGGTACCTATGTAGGTCAGGTAGGTAGAGGTAGCCAGGTACGTAACCCCGCCTACGTAGTATCGTTTCAGTCTTGACATGCCCATCCTTGTTTCGCGCATATCCGCTCACGGGTTGCCTACCTGCTATTATACATAGGTACGGTACGGTAGGGTACCTAACGTACCTAGGTACTCCAGATTTCGTACCTGAGCACATCCCATTTTACATGTGTTATTTTTTCAACGATGCACTTTTCTCTTGTAGAAGCTCGTCTGCATGCCAGCCGTCTTTGCCCTTTAACTGACTGAAGCGTTTCACACTGGAATAACACAGATGATATAAAATGCGAGATGGATGATTCAGGCTAACGTGTGTAATACGGTGTCAGGCGGGCTTGCATTCCAACAAACATTAGGTACCTAAGGTAGGCCCTTAAGTAAAAGGTATTTCTTAGTCCTATGTGCTTTTGCATGTAGTCATTTAATTACTAACCTAAGGCTAGGTTAGGTACGCTGATATCAAAGGATAGATCTACCAATTACTTTCCCTCAAGCTTGTTTCTCGCCCACAATTCGAATTATATAGTTGTTAGACAAGATACTTGCAGTAGTTGACATTTCTCCGGCTTAGTGTGGCAGCGTGAATGAAGATATAATGAATCCGATGCGGTTGTGTGAACTGGAGGTGGGTAGCATGGAATTGTCTCTCCTAATGTGCTTCCGAATCTAGACTGCCGAGCAATACCTAGACTAATTTTTTTACGCGAATAATATTGGGAAAATTGGAGGCTATGTCGACGCTATTACTTGAGAAGATATCGCAACGCGGGAATATAATAGTTGGAGGTAGTTGGAGGTTATCAAAGGTGTGTCGTAAGCTGAGAATCGCTGATAGTACGTCGGCTAGGCAATATCCTTTAGAAGGAAAGCGCCGGGTTAATACGGCTTTTCTCGACCGATCGTTGTGAGGATTTATGTACGTAAGAGATTTGATACTATTCCAATGGATACCCCGTGGACAACTTACATACGTAGGTACTTAGAGAGTAAGTGGGCATATACATATCAGGTTTTATGACAAGAGGCTCCAGAAGAAATCAGCAGTATAGACCTAATGAATTTTTATTTTGTTTATCCTTTTTATTTACTTATTTAACTTTTTTCTTTACGCAAGCCGATGCCGGTGGTGGTTAGAAATCTTTGACTTATGAGGAAATAATGCCGGCTATGACGACGGCGGCGTTAGGTCGAGGATAAATATGGTTTTATGTCTACCATTTTACGTACTGCATTGTTGGTACTGGACGTGGGAGAATGCACCTAAGCTTTAGAACGATGCAGTGGCTTATTTAGGTAGGTCTTGGAGCATATACCTCCATGTGGCTACCCGGATTGATTAGATTACAGTGCATACAAGCAAAGGTTCCGGCCTGTAGGCCACCAATATGCGATACCTACCTGCTCAATCTAGGTAGTTGCCGGTAGTTTCCATCCCAACCCCCACTACTCGGTACATAGCTTAGCCGTTAGAAGCTTAGGGTGTACATGTACTGAAGAAGAGACGCGAAGGGGGGGCAGAGGGGCAGTGAAAAAGAAACGAGGAGCGCTATTGTCATCATGTGCCCCCCCCCCCCCAAAAAAAATATCAGATATCGGCTAGAAAAGGATCGACTTTTTAAAGCTTCCAACAATTCCTTACTTGAGACTTTTTATTTATAAGGGACTTTTATGCCTATAACTTTTTATATATTTTTACACACAACCTAATACCCTGTGGACATAACGCACCTAGGTACTTTGGGAATATATAACAGTAATACTGTACCGTTGAATCGCTGCCACTAGACGAACAGACAGGCAGGTTGGGCCTGTAGAGACAAGACAGATATTTAGCTATAATAACGGCCCTCGTCCTCAATTGAGCGACAATGAACACTTCTATGGTTAATTCCAAGTTTCTCTCCCATCCCGAGGACCTCGGCGTCGTAGCTGTTGGTTTCTCGGGTGGCCAGGTATGATAAATAGCAATTCTAATAAATACTCGTCCCTCTTCAAATATCACGGTAGCTTACAGGATCGCTATTATTCTTCTTGCCAGTGCAAACCTGGAGTCGACGCTGCTCCTTCGGCTCTAATCGAGGCTGGGTTGCTTACCCAGCTACGAGACGAGCTCAACTATAAGCTGCATGGCCACGACACTGTACACTCGTACACCGACCTCGTCCCGCGCGAAGACCCTCCCTTCCGGAATATGAAGAACCCTAAAGCCGTGAGCAGCGTTACTCAGCGTCTCTGCGACCAAGTCTACGAACATGCCAAAGAAGGGAGGATGGTTTTGACCTTGGGCGGCGACCATTCCATCGCCATCGGTACTATCGCTGGTTCAGCTAAGGCTACACGGGAACGGCTCGGCCGCGAAATCGCGGTTATCTGGGTCGACGCGCATGCTGACATTAACACGCCCGAGACGAGTGGTTCCGGCAACGTCCACGGAATGCCCGTGAGTTTCCTGACCGGCCTCGCGAAGGAAGAGAAACCCGAGTACTTCGGCTGGCTCAAGCCTGAGCACCTTATCAGCGTGAAAAAGCTCGTTTACATCGGCCTACGAGACGTCGATCCGGGCGAGAAGAGGATCCTCCGCGAGAATGGCATCAAGGCGTTTAGCATGTTCGATATCGATCGGTATGGATCTCTCTTAGTTATAATCGTCTGCTACTTGGAGAGAGACTTGCTAACGTATGGTGTTGTCCCGTCATAGGCACGGTATCGGTCGTGTCGTAGAAATGGTGCTGGCGCATATTGGTGCCGACACGCCAATTCACTTATCTTTCGATGTAGACGCGCTCGACCCGATGTGGGCACCTAGCACAGGTACACCAGTCAGAGGAGGATTGACGCTGCGCGAAGGAGACTACATCTGCGAGAGCGTTCACTTGACGGGAAGCCTCGTGGCCGTGGATCTTGTCGAAGTGAACCCTAGTCTGGCACCGGAAGTTGAGCTGGGAGCTCACGAGACGGTTCGTGCGGGCTGTTCGTTGGTTCGGTGCGCTTTGGGCGAGTCTTTACTATAGATCGGTGGAGATTGTGAATGCGACCAAAGTCAATTCACACCATAACAGACATGAGTTCGTCAACGATGGGTATGGTGCTTGGATGATCATGGTGGCGGTTTGGTATATACCTATATACAGGGGTTGCATCTGTTTACACACGTTCTGGGAATTGGGTAACCTTACCTAGGTAGATTAGACGGCGTCTACTCATAGAGGAAGTGGCTAATATGCCTTTTGCAGACAGAAAAAGAAAGAAGAAAAATAAACCACAACGAAATGAAGTATGAATTCCAACATTAAATTATAACTTTGGTTGATGGCAGACTTGAAGTAGCTGAAGTGACGTTAGACATCGAATCATCAGATATAATAACGTGAGAGTTTCTGGTTCATGGATTTAGATAGGATACGGTATACGGTTTAAGATATCTCATATCCAGGGGTTATCCCCAATTCTAGGGTAGCATAGGCCTTGGCAGACGAACTTGTATTGGATATAGTAGGGTGGCATTCACGCTTTGCAAATTACCCAACCACCTTAGTTTCTCATCAGCCTTCCCTTTTTTCTTTTTTCTTCCCCCCTTCCGTCTCTCTTCTACAATCTGATAGGCGTTAAAATGATGGAGTGTTGCAATAGACACTCCGCATATAGTCCGGTACCTGGGCGATTTGAGAAACATACCTCTTACCTAGAGCTATTTGGTAGATAGCTATAAGCGCTAGTTAGGTTAAATTATTGTTTCTCTAATATTTCATAACCGAACAGGCCTATCAAGTCATATAATAACCTAACCAATGATTTATCTCCATTCGCAGTATTGTACTAAGTAAATCTTCAAGTTCACCTAACCAGTAACTTACTTGGTGCATACTCCAGCAGGTCCCGCACATCCCACTCGGCGTCTTCGGTGCGCTACCGAAAAGATACAGCGTCTTGTTGATCATTGCCTAGGAATCTTGCGTATTAGTTTGTGTAAATACTACCTACCTACCTACCTACCTAAGTATAAGTCTGGTCTCACGATATATCCCTCGCACAACGACGACGGCGACGACTCGAGACCGTACCACGTATTTCGTTCTTTCACGAGCCTGTCTGACAGCGCATGGTCGAAAGCGAAAGCGACCAGGCTCGCGGGGCTCCGGCACCTGCATTTGCGCAAAAGAGACGACCCAATCATCCTTCTAGATCCCTCTAGTGCGTTGATCAACCGTGTGCGAAGCAGCTCTGAGCTGGCAGTTCGCTGTGGTTCTGCTTCGTTAGGTTTCTAAAAGTTGGACGACTCGAAAAACTACCTATTGTAATTGCATTTGCCATATAATCAAACGTCTCAACTGCTAGAGCTTTTATCGTTGAAACCGCCCCTACGATCCAAACTTTCTATTCAGACAAACGACGACGTCCGGAGACAAGACGCAAACGCGATTGGATAGTAACATCGAGTGTAATATTTTGGGCTCTCTTAAGAAAAGAATAGGGTGGAAAACAGGTTTTTGTCGAAGAGAGCTTGAAAGAAAAAGACCAGCATATCACCAGTCTGCGCATTAAAAGCTTTCGACGTGAGGCAAAGCAGACTCGGCCTCGATATAACTTCAACTTCGCATCGCTCGCAGTTTTTTACAACGAAGCGCGCACAAACAAAGGAGAAAAAAAAAGGATAAAACACACAATGGCTGCATCAGTGTTAACCGGCTCCGGATCGCTAGTCCACGAACGCCGAATAGCCCGCATTCATAAATACCACTGGCCTGCTATCCAGCTCAACGTATGGATGCTCGTTATGCTAGCGGCGTCATGTTGTATAATTGGTATCTTCGCTACCTTCATCGGCGTCCAGCAGCAGCTGGAACTGTATATTCCCTGGTGAGCAAAATCGGCAATACCGAACCTCTTATTTATAACGGCCTTGACTGTTTTTCTAATCTGGCTCCGTTCTTATACAGGTACTTCCCTTACTTTATCACCGTCTCAGCCTTGACAATCGTCTTCATTGCCACGTTACTATGGCTCATAGCTCAACGGAGACTCCTCCCTTCTATAGTCATCCTAGGCTCGTTTATGTTCTTTGTGCTTTGGATTGTAGGACTCATAGTCGTCAGCATTGAACTATGGGGTCCTGTAGGTTCCGTCAGCTCGAATTGCAACCTCTTGGTGTGGAGTACGTCGCCCACAGGCAACAATCAAGGAACATTGGCCTGGCTAGAACAGAGGTCCATATGTGAGCATACCCCGAGTTTGGTCCCCTTCTCTCGTCGTCCACTACGCGCTTCGTCTAATCTCAATTTGCTCTTTACTGACATTCGGTCCGGCAGGCCAATCATGGCAGGCTGTCTTTGCCTTCGGTCTCATCGGATGTATATTTTTACTGTGGATTATTGTCATGGCGATACAAGTCTTCTACGATGATGTCTGATTAATTTTATGTGAATTTTCGATAATTAAATACCGGCAAGAGCCACGAGTTCCTGTATATACAGTTTCATGCCACATCTGTTGGCCTGACTGCTACGCACGAGATTCACAGGTCGTCAGATTCACGCGAAAACCTCTATGATAGAGCGTATTGGAGTCTCGGTATGAAGTCACGAAGTCACGAAGCTTGAATATGATTATAATTTATGATATGTTTAATTAAGAAATCCAACCATTTTCGTGGGAATAACACTAGTCCATGATTTGGTACATATGTGCGACTTGAAGGAATGACGCATCGCAAAATAGTCCGGCTACTCTTCTGTAACTACCTATTACAAAAGCTTCTCAATGTAACGCGTATGATAAATGTAAGTTATCTGCAGCACCGATGTAAAAGTTTGACAGCGAAGTATCTCTGACTAATTGGAAATCCTAGGATCTACCTTATTTCTATATAACTCTGACGTTAGTTTCTCGAGACAAGAAGTTGGAAATTGGAATGGCTCTGACGTACCCAGTCGCCTTCTCGTACATCTTACGAGCCGTATCGGTGCCGGTTTCTAGTTGTTTATCGGACAGTTTGCCGCCCTCTTTCTTATTCATAAACCCAGCGACTAATAAACAATGATATTAGAATTATAACATTATAAGTCAAGTTGATCAAGGCTAACAACTCACTTTTGTCTCCAATGTCCTTCTTCTCGCCAGATTGTTGAGTGCCGGCATTGCCAGAAGCTTGAGAATTTCCGGCAGCGAATTTCTTGAGGGAATCCATCGTTATTGAATATGAGATTATCTGATAGTCTTTTTTTTTACGGGGAGGATAAGAAGATGGAGATTATAGTACAGACTTTAGGATAATGGATAATTGCTCGATATAAGGCTGGGAGCATCCTTAGCATTTATATGATGCTGCCGTACGTGGCTTGGAACTCTTCACAAAGCTGACTGCGTTCGGTCTGATATGTGCGATGACGTCCACCAAATGCCAAGATACGTAATCCAGGGCGCATGCTGATCTCGATCTATATTTCCAAGAATTTACCTTTCACTTAAACATCTCTTTTTTCCCTGCTTCGCATTGTCTCAGTTCGATCGGATAAATCTAAAGATGTTACCTGTGCCCGAGCTTGTGCCCGAGTTTACGAGGGATATTGTGTTAAAGGTTGAAAGATTACTAGGACTGGAAGTTGGTCTGTCCGTAACGCCACTGCATTTTTATGAACCCCCCTTTATAGTAGCACTAATTAAAATAGTACATATTTTTGATAAAACTTGTAAAATAAAGAACATTTTAATAATAAAAGATATATTTAATGAAACATTTCTTTTTTAATATACTTAATAAAAATGCTTAAAATATTATATATAGCTAAGTTACTTAATTTAAACGAGCTAGGTTAATATAATATCCGGAACAAGTTCGGGTAAAAACGCTTAAAGCTTTGCGTAAGACTACAAGTTCCGGCAAGTTTAGGTCGTCCAAATAGCGGTACTGCTATTTTTGCTTCCGTTGCTTTAGCACTCACGTTAACCTGTAACGAACCTACACTCAGGTCCGTTAGAGTGTAGTAACAGGGGTCTTGATTTTAGGTAAACAGTAGCGATACAGGTCAAGTGTCAATAAAACGTTGAAAGTGTTCGTCAGGAAGGCTTGGAGTCCTTCCCCTTATATGGGTTAGATATAAGACTTAGATTGATAGCTAAGGAAACGTAAATGAATGACTAGATACATGTTGACTCTTATAGTCCTGATTGTCCCCTTTATCCTGTCTCTTGAGGGCATCGTGATGTGGTTGATTTGGGTGATTTGGTTGATTTGATCAAATCAATCAAATCAGTCAAATCAATCAAATCATACGAGATCATGACCATAACCGAGGTTTATCCGTTGCCCTTGGAGACCCCGCTCCCGTTGCCTAGACTAGTACGTTTCTAATAGATGTTGGTTCGTAACAAAGTTATTATTATTAACTTATATTAAGTAAAATTAAATTTCCTAAATAGGTTCTTTTATAAAAAATAGGGATTTTATAGTTTTTAATTTTTAATTTTAGTAAGTATACCCGAACTTGGATTAAGCAACTCGGCGGTGCGTAACTTTTTAAGCGTTTTTATTAGATGCATTGTAAAGGAAGAAATGTTTCATTGGATGTATCTTTTAGCGTTAGAATGGTCTCCATTTGATTAAAACACTTTTTTAAAAAAGTTTTGCTACAGCAAGCGACCCCTTAGACACTCATGTTCGCCTTTAAATGCACCATCCAACGCCGGTTACCCAGGACCAATTGGTCGTATGCTTTAAGCTCATCAGCTCCCTGCTGGCATGCCAATATCTCGACGCCTTAACCCACCCAAACGCCAGCCTCGTATTGGTATATCGACGATGCTATACGCTCAAGCTCGTCATCTAAAGGGTATGTATCATGATTAGTTACTTTCGTTCTTTGTACCTCCGCTTCACGATAGCAAATCGTCAACCCAGCCCATGGTTTCTCTTCGGTCATCCGCGATTCGTGCGTACTCCAATAGCAACCGCAGAACATAGATCTGCATGTCTTCTTTCCTGAGAACTTTCTCGGCCCAGGCTTTTCCATCCATCGCAATCTTCTCAGCCACTTCATCGTGCCCGGGCACGCTGTCCTCGTAACCGAGGAAATATTCCATAATGCCGTAGTAATCGCCAAATCGGTTGTCCATCGGCACGAAATGCTTCCAAGCCACTAGCCGACTGTCGTGCCACTCGCGCCATAGCGTGCTCTTTATAGGGAGACTCGTGCTTCTTAAGAAACCTAGGTAACGTCCCGAGAACGAGTTGCCATCAATGTCGGGAAGATACTTGTAGTAAAATTGAACCGCGAGCTTCTGGCCAAGTACCGTCTCGTAGTACTCGTCCGTATATATACAGTGCCCATCCTTCCTGTGCTCAGCTTCAATATCGGGGTCGCAGAACAGATCGGTGAAGCCAACATCAGACCACTGCGACACCCACGCGCCAAGCCGCTTCTCTTTTTGTGCTGCCAAGTTGTAAGTCGCGGTGGGTAGTTCAAAATTAACCGGTGTTTCAATATCCTCTTCGGCTCGCTGCAATTGGGTTCCATTATTGATCGCAACGAATCGGTGTCTCTGAAAGCCCTTCCAGTTCGATCCCGTGTTGCGACCTCCAGTAGCTACACCACGCCAGATGACGGGTCCGATCTTGCTATCCCACGATGGTCCATGGTCGTCTCCTCCAGTAAATCTTTCTTCCTCATTCCAATACATTGGGGCGGGAAGAAGTATCTCATTGTTGGTAGCTAGTTTACTTCCTCCAAACATCGGGAACAGGACCTTGGTGGCAGATGTTGTCAGAGGCCGGATGAAGATACCTTCGAGTCCTTGTAAATCTGGCTGATGGCAGAATTCGGATGACAGCGTTGAATTGGCTACGTATCCTTGGTATTGGTGGGGGTTTGCCCACTCCGGGGAGAAGACAGGTTTGTTGTCGAACGAGCTGAGTGTGGGTTGTTTGCGAGCCGGACTGTCGGGAGGACAGCCTCGGCGGGCGATCAACCAGTACGGGTCTATTAGCCATTAGCATATGCGACGGTTCTTCATGCCTCCTATTACCATCGATAGTAGGAGACAAAGGGTTAGCCTTACTTGTATCTTCCCAATCTTTATCAACAGTGTGGACGGACTTGTCGTCGCGTTTGACGGGGGGCGGCAGTTTCTGGAATTCGCTGACGATGCTTTTGGCTGGGCTAAGAATCCGGCTCTGCTTCTCCTTCTTCATGTAAGCATTAATATCTTCCCATGGTACTACAAGTCGTGGTTCGTCCATAGCGTTCAGGGCGATATCCATATCGGGAAGCAAATGTTCAATTGTATGGATCATGTCTAACCAGATCTGAGTCCAAAACCAATCGCTCTCGGCGCTCGCATTGCCATTCCGTATGTTGATAACCATCTCGTAACCCGCTGCTTCGTCACGGATGCTAGAAGGATCTAAGCCCCAGAATGGATTTAGGTCGTGATAGATCTGGTCAAAGAAATCCTCGACCATGACTGCTTTTTTTTCCTTAGCAAACTCGTACCACTTATCGAAACCTGGAGGTGGATGTCGTCCGCGACGTTTGCGATAGGCTTGAGCGGCTTCGCTGAGCGTACTAGACTCCTTAGCTAGTAGGTCCTCGAAATCCTTATCGGCGATCTTGATCAGGTGGTCAATGGGGTGATCGGTAGCGGGTTTCGGCGGTGCGGGTTGAACAGGTTTCGATTCGTGCGCCGGCTTCTCTTCGCCGTCTGAACTCCCGTGGACGGGTTTCTGATCAGCAGAGGGGTTTTTGGCAGGTTGATTAACAACGTCGGGCGCCGCATGGTTGTATGAAGCGGGGGAGGATAATGACGAAGATGATTTAGAGGAATCGTGATCGGAAGTTAAATAGGTGTTAGGTGTTCGAGGTTCTTGAGGTTTGTTAGAGAGATAGTAGAAGACACCAAGGAGGAGCAAGGCCGGAAAAATGTATCGGATGAGGTGAGAAGGCCTCCTCGGGGGAAAAGCGGGCGAGCGCATCACGAAGGAGAGACGTCGGCCGCCCTAAAGACGGCGCGGGGACGTCGGCACGAGTTCGTAGATGGGACGAAAGGTTTCGTAGCGCGAGGTTCGAATTTAGCGGCGCAGTTCGAGTCGGCTAGGATTAGGAGGTACACGGTTCTAGTTTAAAAGTTAAATGCGTCGGCGACTTGTAGAAGGAATAATCGGTAGAAGGATTTCAAAACTTTGTTTCGCAACAAATGATTGGGCGGCAAAAGGTTTACAAGGCAAAGCTAACCCAAGCCATGGCGTTTTAAACGTAAAAGACAGACGAGAATAAAATTAGGAATAGGAATAAAAGGATAGGTAGATCGATTCAAAGTCGTGAAAATGCAAGGCGATGCAATGACTTGAATGAATTGAGTTAGGTACGGAAATATGTAGGAGAGAAAAGGAGTTTGAGGTAAGAAAAAGAGTAACGAGGAAGATAATAGGTATAATACAATTTAGTGAGGCAAAGTGGTGTGTGTAAGTACCTTAGACGCAACTTCCAAGGCTGATAGCCAGATTGCATGTATCTCGAACGTATATCATGAGTACAGATTGTGCGTTTGACTCGTACCAGGTAGGTAAGTTAAACGGTAAATGCAGGGCGTTCAACGTTCAAGTCCCGCAAGGTTCTGCTGGCAAGTTGGCAAATTGGACCCGATGCCTAAAGTAAAAGATGAAAAAAAAAGATAAAAAATAAAAAAGATAGACATATCCATAGGTATAGAGATGGGCAAATTTGGGAGCAGTTGAGGAGATTTGATAGTCGTGAGCGAAGATGTTTCTAGGCAAAAGCCGGTTAGCATATTCAATTAGGTACTGTAGGTCACAATACCTTAGGCACACTACCTTAGGTACAAGTATATTACAAAAGTACACTTGAATTTGTATCTACATATGTACCTATGTAGGTACCTAGCGATACATGTCATGAGCCTACCAAATACGCTACCAACAGTGGGGGCTGTAGATTGAATAGGTACCGGCTCTCTGGGCCTTACTAGGTATTAGATACACTCACTAGACGTATTTGGGTATTGTACCAAGTACCTAAATCCAGGTACGATTATCTTAAAGAACCTACTAGGTAGACCTCGGAATCTCCCTTAGCATCCATCTAATCTTTACAGCAATAGCTGAAAGCGGCACAGCAGCAGCCCTAGGCACGCTTCATACTCACGCTTACATACATAGGTATGTACTGTACAATACTATGTCAGGTAGGTACTCTGATCAGTTGCCTTATTCGCACCCTCCAGACGGGAACGTCCCAGTCCGGTGGGAAGGGGGAGCTTCCAATGCAACATCTTATCGTCACGGGGCCCCATCGAATATTTGAATGGCTTTCTTGCGGAGCTCGAATCTCCTTTCGTCTTGAAATTTCCCACAGATGATGTAAGAGTAGCTTTAAGGAATGGGCAAGACATCAGATACTACAGGTAGGTAGCTTCAGGTTAACCTCAATTTCGGATGCAACCCAATCCCATCTTCTATATACCTAATAAATTAGGTAGTTAATAGTATCAACGTTCCAGAAGCCAGATTTAACAGGTTCATGGCAATCATCAAGATAAAGTTCTGATCACCCTGGATATACTATGTAAAATTTAGGAAAACGTGTTATTCCACCAAGCCCGGGTCTCACGATGCGATTACCATGTCATTTGGCCATAACACCATAGTCTCGCTAAAGATACAGATTACCGCCGTGGCTGAGGGACCTGATGTACATCTATCTAGCAAATCGGAACTTTTGATGTAAGCCTACCAAAATTGAAGTCGGCTGGGAAAGTCCCCAACCGACAGCCGCGTTAATGTACGTCCAATTTTTCGCGGGCTCGAATCCTGCGAATATATATCGCAGGTAAGTAGCTTAACGTGGAAGCTGGCCGTACCTAAAGTTGTACTTCGTTCATCACGTATTAACACCTCGAGATAACAGCCAGTCCTACGGTATCCGGCCTCGTCAATTCCGCCACCTATCGTAACATGCCTACATCGAAATACACCACCTCTTGTCCGACTTATTCGGATGCAAAAATATTCGCCTCGTCTCCTAACTCGTCGTGAGTGCGAGCAACAAGTTCGTGGAACTCGGGGCGGAAAGGCCACTCCATCCAGAGCTCCAAAAGCTGCTCCCACTGCCGCGCATTCAGTAACCTCGGCGTCAGCTCTGCAGTTTTGGCCTTGCACATAACCCCACCGTGGTTCAAATCTCTGGCGCTCGTCCAGCGGGGTATGATGTAATCGGCGGCCCCTGGCATCAGGGCATCCAAAGCCTGACTGATAGGAATGGTACCGTGGCCCACCAACGTGTTTAAAAGTACTTCGAAAATATCACCCGCCCTACTCGAATTCGGGCCTAGCTGGCGGAGCAGCGGATGAACGCTCTTTGGCTGGATATCCAGCAGACTACATTCGATGTTTGGAAAGAATTCCCCAGGCTCTAACGCCAGCGGCTCGTATTCTCTGCGATCCCAATGGAGTACGGGTGGCTTTTGTCGGTAGAAGTGGAGGTTGTCCTTGTAAGTGCCAAATTCTTGAATAAGCCCCTTAGCATGGGTATCCACGTGGGATTGCCATGCTTTCTCGCGAGCTTCAATTTCTTCGGGTGACGCCTTGCCCGACTTGTAGAGCTTATGGATAGCATCGAACTCCTTCATCATTTCGAACATTGTCTGATACTTTTTTGCTTCCCAGTTGGCCCTCCACCGATAGGTCTGCATATTCTTATACTGAGTCGAGTTTTTATCAAACAATTCTGTGGCGTGGGTTCTCTCAAGATTGTCCAACACGTCGAGGAAAGGTCTCTTGAACTCAGGGGGCTTTGCTCCCGGTATAAGCATTTTCTTTGACTTCGCGTTCCTGCGGGCCTCCAATAGGCCTGCGGAAGCCCTGTTGGCGGGCATCATATACTTCTTGGCTTGCATGTTCCTCCAAGTGGTAAGGTTGCTACTCTCGTCGATAAGGCTGTCGCGAAGAAACCAAACGCTTTCTGGAACATCACGGCCACACACCTCGCGCACCCATTCGCAGTACAGCTCGGTTTCCACGGCCAGCTTCTTCCGCTTCTGCATAACTTTGGGGATCAGCCCGTGTATGTCGTCGCAACGAGCCCATATCAACATGCGGACAAGCCCATAACGCTGAAATAAGCCGCTATTCCTGATAGAATCGATCAACTGGTAGAGAATTAGATGCGCGATAGACGTGAACGCGCGGAAGCCCTTACGAGGGTGGAAAGCAATGTTTGCGGTGACTAGGAGAGTGTCGTTGCGCTGATTTAGGTTAGCCGCATCGGGTGCGGGCTGGTGAGGTAGGTGTTCAGGGGTTAGGACAGAGTTAAGCTCCCGCCAGACGAGCCCAGACGCGGGAATGAGCTTAGTGTTGGGTCGGTCAAGGAGGGGTTTGAGAAAGGGCCTGTACAGTTCTTCATCGGGTTCCATCAAGATGTGTGTGCGCGGGTCAAGAAATTCGTGTAGTTTCTGGCTCCAAACCCCGGCACCAGGATAAATATCAATGAGGTCGCACCCTCTATGTCGCCTGAGCGTTTTCCCAATATATGAGATAACATCGTCACATAGCTCGTCGCTGACGACATTGACTCTGGTCTTGTCGCCTTTCACCTTAGCTTTAGTTTCCTTGCCGTTGTCCTTCTGCGAACCCTTGGTAGCGTCTCTCCATACTCCCGTGCCAGCGAGCTTTTCCGCTGTAGGGCCTATCGCCTTCAGGTTTGTCTCATCGAGGTGTTTCGACGAAAAGGTGCGCCTTGTTATCGCAGCAGCGGTTGGTCGGTAGAAGATAGAGCGAGGATTGAAAGCATGCCGCATCACCACGGATATTAAACATGTGAAATGGCCGGAAAAGGGTGTCGATGGTTAAACAGGCGGTGGTATCGTTGAGGACGAGTAGAATAAGTAATAGGTTTATTAAACTTATCATGTACGTTTTGCGCATGCGAAGATTGGTCGTCTTTTTGTTTTTCTACTTTTTTTGGCTTGTATCAAGACATTTAATTGGATGTTTGCTCTGTAGCTTTAGCTTTCATGCTTGCAAATACTTGGAGCTAAGATAAAACTGATAACCTTATTAAAGTACTTCCTAACAGGTAACTACCGTAGGTACTATGTATTACAACAGCCAACAAGTGGAGAAGATCTACTAGATCCACAATCCTTAGGATGAAACATTTCTTCCTCAGCAATTCACCCAATCCGAAGACGAGCTGGGTAACCTAGTGAGCCTTTACCTCTATATCTGGATCGCTTCTTCAGTCGCTTAGGGGAGAAATCCACATCGTTAGAACAGGCTGAGAACAACACTCGTACTTAAGGATGTTTCTATATATCAAGATTTTACCTAAGTGTAAGTAGGACGAGAACCAGGAAAAACCAGGGAATAGAAGTCAGCCTATATGGAACCGCGTAGGGCAATCTAATTGCCTGGAATGCTTTCCAGCCCTAAGGGGAAGTTAGCTACCGAAGGTCCTCCCGGTTCGCAATAAACATTAAACTCACATCCATCAACGTCCTCCCTTGCAGTTTGAGCCTTGGTGCATTTCATAGCCTCTTCCGATGTCTGAACCCTGAGCTCTTTGCAGACGGCGTTGTTACATCGAGCGTCAAGAGCGCGTTGGAGCGCATCGCCTTTCCAGCCGAAGATGTAATCGCCGTGTTGCGAGTATCCAGTTCTTTGCGCGCCGATTCAGTAGGAGGTACGTAGTAAAACTATGGTACTACTCGAGGAAACTCACTCATCATTCGTACTCCAGACGAACGGCTGGGAACCATCTTCGGGCCACAGTTCGGGATCGTTGAAAGGCGTAGTCTAGGCATAGGAAATCAGTCAGGATATTTTTAGTCAAGGCCTGTTACTCGCCATGTCGAGACAACAAAGATCGTACTTACATCCCACATCACTTCATACATGAGCTGAGGCAGCCTCACGGGATGGCTAGAAGGACATCTACCTAGCGATTCAAAGGAACCTTCGCTAGGATAGGCGACGTGGCTCTTGTGATCTGGGCTGTCTATATTCTTTCCGTCTGGTGTATGGTAACATTTTGTGTCAGATTTATGACTCTCAGACTGTGGAAGTTTGCCCGGTCTCTTCCCATCTTTTTTGTTTGGAATAAATTAATGGAAAGGGGCATTGGACTCACCTAATGTAGGTGCGTAAACATCCTGCGTCAGTTTTATAATCGTATTATTCTAGAATATCCACCCTTTCTCATAAAAAATCATTATATAAGGTCATCTCACTTACTAGTAAACGTTAACCATCACATACTTATCTTACGACGGAAAGTTCGAATCCATTCTAGAAAGATGCTCTGGAATATCTTACTTACCCAAAACACGTGGGAAAGGTAATCGTTGTTCGAATACCTCCTGGGCAAGGCTTAGGAGGTAAGCTCTGCGTATCTGATCCGGTACATGGTGCACCCCCTGAGTCTCCAGCGACGCCAGCACCGTCCGCGGATGTATAACAGCGATGACAGAGCTGGCGTTGCATACCATCGGCTTTGCGAAGTCCGGCGTCTCCCACGAGCATGCGGAATCCCGGTTTGAAAGCGGTTACTTTCGTCTTTCCATCATAAGGCGGGATATAATATACTGTGATTCCGCCAACGCCTCGGAGGCCCACGTTCGTAAATTGTTCGACGCGTTTATATGTACCGTTGCGGGCCTTGAAGTATAGAACCGCCGTCCAATAGTTAGAGAAGTCCTCGGAGAACGTACAGCTAGTACAGGTAGAGTCTCTGACGAGGTCGTGTACTGCCGGGTCCATGCTCGTGTTGAACGAGTTCCCGCCCACAATCTGATGGACATGCGACGACGGCAACGCGCCGGGGTTGACGAGGGGGTCCAGACGCTCGATGACAAGCTGAGAACAACCAAAGCGTATCATTTGTTGAGCGACAGCCCCCCCGGCAAGAAATGCCGCGGCTAAACCCTTCCACTGCATCTTGGGAAGCGCTATCTCACTGAGGTATTTATATGGAAAAGGGCTTGCAGTAACTGAAATGCCTTAGACGGAGCGAAGCTAGACTGCTGCCCGCGCGTATCTTCTGGGTCCCAATTCCTATATACAGCAGATTTGTTCCTTATGACTCCTTGTAGAGTAATATACCGAAATACCGATTACCTATCTTGCTTGGTTCTCAGGTATCTTGGGTATATCGAGGTATATTAAGTTCAAAAAAATTGCCAATCCTTATGGATTTATCCGGAATAACTATCTCACATGGCAAGTTCTGAACACACATCTCACTTGGTGGGAAGTTAGGTACTTTCAACGTATAGGTACCACATTAAAACGTGTTGAGTTTCGGCAATGCGGGTAGTGATGATGCTAATTGGAATTCATTCGAGTCGTGTTGACGTTTTGCCACTTTTCCCATCGCATATGACGATGGTATTGCTGCTTCTATACTTTCACTAACCTTGGAATATTCACCAGGTTAGGTACCTGATATGAAGTAACCAGTTGTGGGCGAGTCTAGGTTGTTTTCATTGTCGCGGCAAAACGGGATTAATATTTTACATACTCATCCAAATTGAAATGTAACGACCTGGACCTCTCGGCATTTATTCTAACCGGTATAACTAGAAGCGAGATAAGATCGCCTGTCCTGAATTATAGACAACCCTTTATTACATAGCAATCATGCCGGGGGAGGAAATTTGACCGCGATCTGTATTTCCTTGATACGCCGGAAGGGAAACCAAAATCTTCAAGATGCGAACAGGTATTCTTACCTCTATAACAGCGCTGTCGCTTACCCGCGGAGCAATCGCTTCAAGAGCATGCGGAAGCGGCACAAACGCGTCTTCGCAATACCAGTGGCATGTGGGCGCCGCAAGGTATGACGGCGCGGAACCGGGGAAGAAGGATTCCGCGACAATAGCAGTAAGCATAGCGCCAGGCAACCGGATCATGGGGACATTTTTCGAATGCGTTGCAGAGTGGCCCGAATCGTGGGAGGGCCGGGACGAAGACGGGAACATAATTTGGAGCGATTGTATCTGGGCTGGCAACGGCCAAACCTATGATACTGCCGTCTCTTTTGCTATAGATTGGAAGAATAATCTCACAATGTATATATCTCATACGTTTGACTGCTCGGACAATCAGGGGTAAGCATCGTCCGGCAGCTTCTTGATTTCCGCATAGAAGCTTCAAAACTCTGACAAAATTCAAAAACTAACATGACTGGTGACAGATCCGAGGCTTTAGCTACGGGATCTTTTAAACTGGACATGGATTGCTCAACGAGCGATGAGGATGGCACGAGCTGTATGCTGAAGGGTGAAGGTTTGGATGTTACCACTACCGGACGTCCTGCTCGTTTAGCTGCAGATTCTTGCGCAGATAACGCACATAGATACCAGTCGTGGCAGCTCGAGAACTGGCAGCGTAGATACGAATTGGTTCCTGGTTCGCCGTCTTCAAGCGTGCCCTCTTCCGATACTGGTCCGTCATTCATCCTGAGAAACATGGCCAACACGGATGTTTTTAACTGCACAACATCAGAAAGCAATGATAGCACCGCCGCTGGGACTTGCAAGTTGAACACGGGGGAGAGTCCTACGACTGCAACCTTCAGTTTCAACCGGCGATTAAACGTGTTAACGATTAAGCAGCATTGGGACTGCAGTGATGCGTAAGTAAAAAAAAAAAGGCTTTATCTGGGGTATCACTTCTAACTGCGAGATAGGTCTTCGTTTGAAGCCACCGGTATTGGTTATGTCCAAGCAACATGTAGTCGGGAGGGGAATTTTCTCTCCTGTACTTCAACCCTGCTCTGGATTGGTACGGAAACGCTATGACAACAATGCCTCTTTATGGAGAATGCCACCATAACGATGCACCTACCAACTTCATTCAGGTTGTTGGGGTAATAATTACTATCTGAGGTACCTGGAGATTGGTAAATTGCTTATGGAAGCTCTCTTCTCTCTCTGAGAAGAAAATTGGGTATTGAAAGAGGTGATACCTAGTTTCTCGACGATACAATAGATACACTCTACAGTGTCACCGCGGTCTCCATATACTACTTCATTATTCCTTGACCTTAACTTGTCCACCTACATTGTCTTCATCAGTCCGGCATAATCAAAATAATGCAGCTTCGACTTTGCCTTGACGTATTTCAATATTTACATGGCTGCGCATATTCATCATTACGGTACATGATGAAGTTTACTATTTTTAGATTCCAAGCCAGCGAATAAATACCGTAGCATTCACCCCGCAGTAGATCGCCGTCGAGGAGAAAATAGGTAGCTAGACCCGTTATAGCTAGATCAAACACCGGGTTTAGTGAGGGATTACTCTCGCAGCCTGGGAAATCGGAGTAAGAATGTTCATATTACTAAAACATCTAATCGTGACGAATCGAATACCTTGCAACGCCCGACACTCGACGTGATCCTTTTCCGTCTATATACCTAGCTACTTTACAAAGTTACGCAAGATAACTTTACCTGCATGTATATCCCGACAGTAGAATCGATAGAAAATCGTTATCTAGAAGTGATGATCGAGTACACATTCGCTACCGATTATAGCTTAAACCCGCCCACGACTAGGCGCTGGAACATCTGACTCTTGTCATACTTCTTACTGGCAGTCTTAAGCTTGTTGAGGGACTGCTGCCCGTAGCTCACGAAGGGCTTCTGTCCGGCCCAAGCATCGTTTAGGAAGACAAAAGGTAGGTAAGCGTTGCGAGCCTTGGTGTAGCTCTCTACTGCCGCCAAGCTGTCTTGAAGGATCTGATAGATAGCTGCGTCGTCCTTCTCTGACAGCCAACCAATGTTGATACCAATCCCTGATACATACAGTCAGCTTCGGTGCATAGGCGGGTGATAATCGTCAAATCTGGTTAATACTTACAGAGCTGTGCCTTAGCCTCCACATTCATGGGGTCGTCTCCAAGGGCTCGCGACTTGTCGATCATGCTCTTGGATACCGGCTGAATCATAGGAGCGAGGGAGCCACCAGGAATCTTCTGGATGCGCGACTTGAATTGAGAGAATACGTCAATCAACCCCTGGTAGGTTTCGCTGCTGTTGCTGTCAAATGCCAGAGTCGTGGCAGCGTAAGTCCACCTCGGTACCGCGTAAGGGATATCAATATTGGCAAACTCGTAGAAGTTATCGAAGACCTGCGTGTAGTCCGCGAGGATGGGTAATTGAAAGAAGGGTTTGAACGCGTCGGGGCGGACAACACCGTCCAAGTATACAAAAGTAGCGATGATGCTGTCGTTGTTAATGCCAACGTAAGGTAGAATGGCTGACTTGGTGTCAAGCTGTCCCTTGGCCTGGTACTCGGCCATGGCAGCCATGAATTGCTTGGAGGAGTTACCGGGGAATTGTACGAGACCACCCCAGACTTTACCCATGGGGTAAGTCCGCTGAGTGATGTGAGTGACGATACCTGCAGGGAGCACGCTTTATTAGTATAAGATACTGGGAGGACAGGATATTTCGCGAGCTTACCAAAGTTGTTGGATCCGGCCTTGGCAGCATAGTATAGGTCCGAGTTCTGGGTGGCAGTGGCCTTGACGTGGGTGCCGTTGGAAAGCATGATCTCGTACGCTACAACGTTCTGACCAACCCATCCCCACTGGTTCGAGAAGTGAGATAGGCCGCCCCCCGTGGCGAGGCCAAGCCCGACCACGTTTAGACGGCCTCCGACCACGATGCGTCCGTAAGGAACAAGATTCTCATAGACAGCGCCCCAACGGTTACCCATCCCAGATCGCTGAGTTTGGCTATCCTCATCATAATCCAAATCGTCAATCTTAGTCATAGAAATCAAGAGGCTGTTATCAATACTAGCCCATCCGGAAAGGGGCGAGTGGCCACCGCTGCGGACGGCAAAGGTAGTGTTTGAGAATCCAGCAATGAGAACAGCACGTCCTAGATCGTCGATGTTGTCAGGCGAGAAGATGCAAGATGGCGATTTCCATGCCGTTGGCGACCTGATGACTATGTATAAGCAACAATAAGAATATAGTGTCTGTTGCGTTCTTACCAATGAGCTTGGGCCTGTTGAGTGTAGACATCGCTGCTTGAACGAGCAACATATTGAGAATCGTCCTCATTCTCGCTACTGACGAAGGAGAGGATGGCGCAAGTGAAATCGATACCAGTTTTGGTCTTATAACTCGTAGGCACCTCGCTTGGGTCTAGGTCGATGGACCGTAAGAAGTTATCAACCGCTGCCGTACTAGGAGCCGCCAGTACTGATGGAACAAGGGTTAAACCCAACAGAGGAAACCAAGAAACGTGCATGGCGAAATTATGCGAAGAGAAACAATAAGGGAAGAAACGATAGACTGTATGGAAGAAAACGAGGGAAGATAGTACGAAGAAAGAGACTGAGGAAAACCCAAACTCTATGCTTTTCTTCTTCCAAATTAACAACCTGTGTTACGGCGACGTTCAATACTTATACGGCTTCTTCTAAAATTGCTATCATCATGGCCCCGAAATTACGACTCCCAGGATGGACGGAAGAGAATACCTCAGGCATCGCGCAACAACGGTAGTGCTCTCTCTCGCTCCCTTGGACCCGGATCATACGAGCCTCGCGACAATAGCTACCTAGCTTTTGCGGCGGGCATTTCCGTTCCCACACGAGCAAGGACAATAGTCATAGAGACTACCTCTAGGTACGTACGCATGGATCCTTAGCGTGGTTCTTTTTTTTTAGAACTCACTCCAGCTTTGGTAAAAATCTCGAATTTTGCGTTCACAGCTAACGAAACACGCCAAAATCAGCTGAAATGAGCCCAGGCGTTCGATTGGCTTACTGTCAACGGCTGATCCTTCAGCTAATGAGGCTGAGCTTATATGAACAGCCTGGATCCTATATTACATCCGGACGCCTACCGACCGAAATTTATCGGCCGACTATAAACATGGACCGAAGTTTGTGGAGCTCATACTCCACCTCAGAGCTGACATGTTAATCGGGTCGTAAGACTTTGAGGTGCAGGAGGATTACGGACTTGAGGCCTGAGATAGTCTATGAAGATATATGAATGAAATAGCAAATCTACGCGGGAAGCATGGTCTTGTAAATCTCAACTTCCGCTCGATCATATTTTCTTTCCGCTCGAGCAGCCATTTTCAACATGATAGACAGGGCCTTGCTTCTTTCTCTTTCGGCACTAGTATGTGTGTGGGTATTTCAGGCGATATACAGGATATACTTCCACCCCCTGTCGAAATATCCGGGATCTAAAGTCGCTGCCGTATCGGATTCATGGTGGGAATTTTATTGGAATTATTATCGAAATGGCGAGCTGCTGTTTGAGATCGATAGGCTTCATAAGCGCTACGGTGAGTAAAATGCCCCGGTTTGATTATCGCAAGCCACGAGCTTATGCACATGCTTAGGGCCTGTAATTCGAGTTGGTGTGAACACTCTGCACATTAGCGATCCAGAAGTGTATCAAGATCTAGTAAGAACCAACTCGAGTTTCACCAAAGACCCTCACTTCTATCTAAATATCTCGTTTCCTGGCACTCTGATCGGAGAGACGAACCCGGCCAAGCATCGGGTTCGAAGAAAGGTTCTGGCGCCGGCCTTATCAGGGTCTAGGGTACAAGAACTGGCTCCCGCGATTTTGACGAAGACCAAGCAATTGATAAAGAGGTTTGAGGAGGTGGCGGATAGAAAGTCGCCGATATGCATCACCGCCGCCGCAAAAGCATTCACTATGGACATTATCTCCAAGATCGTCCTCGGTCAGGAGTTAGGCTGTGTTACGGAACCCAACTTTCGCAACCAGCTTACGGAATACCTCGAAGCAGGTTTTAAAATAGGCTGGGTAGGAACTGCGTTTCCGACAATTTCATCTATCGCGCTCAAAGCCGCATCTATGACCTCATTCGTCCTTTTCCCTATGCCCTTATTTAGCTTCAAGCGTGTAAGCATCCGATCTTTCCCTAAACTTCTAGCTATTCTGACTATATACCTATGTAGGCCTGTCTTAATATTACTGGGAGATATCTAGAGACTTTCAATCCACACCAGGCAGGAAGTCAATTGAGCAGTGCGGCTCGTCAGCTGCAAAAGAGCTACGGCGAGCGATCGGCTGTGATAGATATGCTTATGGATCCAAACTCCGCCAAGGATCATCAAGCCCCGAATCTGGAAGAGCTAAACGACGAACTCGTCATGCTCCTGACTGCGGGGAATGACACCACTTCAACTGCCATAATTTACGGCCTTTACCAAGTTTACACTAGACCTGCTATCTATAACCGGATTTTCCGTGAGCTTACAGAGGAATTCCCATCACTCGAAGAAGATATTACCTATGAACGTGTTAGGAAATTGCCTTATCTGGTAAGAAGTCTGCCATCTTTTCGCTTGTCGAGTACGACTTCTAATGCATACATTCGATAGACTGCCACCATTAAGGAGATACTGAGAGCTGGGTGCCCTCTACCAGGACGCCTTCCCAGGACAGTACCACAAGAAGGCTATCGGCTTTACGGCAATTACTTGAAGCCTGGTGTAAGTGAGCAAGTAATGTGTGCGATCCGGCATATTTTCTAACTTGCGTCATGCGCGCGTATCAGGTTAACATCCAAATGTCCCCTTACATTCTAAACCGTCACCCAGATGTCTGGGACAAACCCGACGAATTCATCCCCGAGCGGTGGCTCACCGACGACGTTGCCAGGCTCGACAGATATCTGGCTACCTTTAATAAGGGGGCTCGGCAGTGTCTAGGCAGAGAGTAAGATACCTGCATTACGCTACCTCTTCGGATTCTTCCGCGCGTGTATATCAATGCTAACAAGAAATATAGGCTAGCTTGGTGCGAGATGTGGGTTGTTTTCGGAAACATCTTCCGACGTTTCCAGATTACACCGTACAACACGACTGACAAAGACATGGAGTGGAAGGATTTAATTCTCGTAGCGTGCGTCATCCATCCCCACTCGATACAAATCTATTTCTGACTATGATAAAATACAGTTATAAAAACAAGTTCTACGCTACTGTAGAAAAGAAGCTAACTTAGTGTGAGCTTCCATTGACGGGTTAGGAGAATTCAGTCGATACAGGAGTACCTAGAATAGGTTAGGTACCTACCTAGGCAGGCATAGAGCGGTTGTACTATCAACTAGGTATGAATCGATGGGGAAAAGTAGGGGGTCTATAGGCAGCGTACTATCCAGTATATATGAATTCCAACTGGGTTGATAGAGAGAGGAGACTTCGTATGAACGTTTTCGTGTCAATAGTTACTGGAGTGAACGAGCTACAACAAGTTTATATTAAATGGCCGTTGACAGGAGAGAGAAAATCTCTCGTACAGGGCTGACCTTGGGTACCTACCTCCTACTCTACAGTCGCCCTACCACTGGAGAGTTTGCTCTGAAAATATCGAAATTATTAAAGGGCGGGTAATCGATGTTTGGGTAAACTACGCTTAACTTTCTTACTCGAGACATTCCGAAGTTCGCACGCCGCAAAAGTGGTAAGAGGAATCCGACTTCTATGCAAATATGCTTCTAGACTTGATCAAATGAACAAACCCATACGAGGTTGTTTATGTGGTGGCTTGTTTATTAACTTCTTTTTGTCTATTGGGGAAAACCATTAGAACTATGTGATTCTCTCAAGTAACATCAGATTCTGAATAATATTTAGTTTGCAAATATTAGTAAAGTAATTACACGTCGCTGAAGTTACCTACCTAGGTACCTACCTTTCTAACAGCACACAACATTCACATGAAGATCATGGTAGGATGAAATGGCATATTCAAAGGGACGTGTTCAATATTACTAAAGGTAATGCGAGAATATAAAATATATTTGTTACGACACATCAACGCGGTCTAACCCCCTCCCCACCTTACGCCAAGAACGAACATCAGATTCTATCCTTTCCTGTAGAGTTAGATAGAAGGGTTCAATACTTAACCCTTCCTAGACGAATGAAGCACTGCCGAGGTGTATGCGCAAGCCCATCCTTAGCAGCATAGCTTGATAATGAAGGTGGTACCGGAAGCAGCTCGAACTCCCAAAGCATCAGAGTAAGGACGATCCTCATCTTTGTGTATGCAAGCCGGCGACCCGAGCATCCTCGCTGGCCGAGACCAAAAGCTAGCTGCGGCCCGGCGGTGGCGTCAAACCTGACCTCGCCGTCTTCGCCTTTTACTAACCAGCGCTCAGGATGATACGCGCGCATATCTTCAGCTTCGTTCCACTGCCTTACTCTTGTTGCTTGTGAGGTCTTGCTCCGTTTGCTTTCAGGTATGTCGAACGACGGCGAGAGGAAGCTCGGCCCGTTGGACAATAGAAGAACAACGGTTCCTTTAGGTATATGGTGTCCGAGTAGTTCTGTGTCGCAAGTTGCTTCTCTGGTTATGGGCATGGCACTAAGACGTAACATCTCATCCATAGTGGCATCCAGATATGGTATGGTAGTGTGAGTAATCTCATCTAAGGTGGGTAAACGCTTCTCCGCCAGAGCCACAGGGTGAGCAGCATGAAGTGCGGCGCGGAGAGTCGACTGCGCCGTAGGATTGTCTGTTAGGAATTTTAAGCCCCATACCAAAGTGTTAGCGGTGGTCTCGTGGCCTCCGACTACGTTAAAGATGACCTGTTTCACATAATCGTAAGCAGGTGTAAGCGCCAAAACTTTTGAGAGAATTTACTAATTATTCTTACCTCGTCGCTCATGCCAGGACTGAAAAATTGAGGCTCTCGGCCGCTCTTTTCGGCCAGAACTGTCTCGCGCAGAATCATGTGGTCAACAGCCGAACGTACCCAGGAGTCGTCAGCGGTGCCGTGAGTATTCATCTTTTCCACGGATTTCTGGATTTGACCCATAACAAATCGATCCTTAGCAGCGAGAGTCTTCCTGAACGAAGGCCGCATATTCTCCCACCACAAGGTAAGTTTGGGAACAGCAGAGTTCATGAGCTTTTCAAGGACATGTCCGGCAGTTAAGCTGACCTCAAGGTTTTCGTGGAGGGCAGCTTCGGGAAAACGAACGGGATCATCAATGCCACCCTTCAGAGCCGAAATCTGCTCCGGCGTTAGACTCTCGAGAAGATCTGACTGCGGACGCACAGCTGAGTATTCGAAGCTGGCCCCAAACGAGAAAGCACAAACGGAGTCTAGGATGGTATGGTAGATATCCGTCTGTGCATGGAATGGCCGACCCTCCGACAAGCTTTCCTTAACTTCCCAAAGATGCAGGAAGTCTAGAACCTTGGAGTATATGGCAGGGGCGGCGACTTTGTGCAGAAATGCCGGAATCATCAAATCTTGGGTAAGCTTGCGAGCGTCTTTCCACTCGCTGCCAGTACTCATACGGATATGATGATGAGCGATCGGGGCCATCAGGTCTCTTGTGAAGCTCGACCGATCAAAGTCCTTCCGTTTCATCAGGACATCCTGCGCTTCCCTCCAGTCTGCTAGAACGAGGGTGGGGTTCGACAACGGGCGTAAAAATACCTGGCAAAGCGGCGCGTTCAAATTTTCCGACTGCTTTCGCATCCACGCCATAAACTCGCCAGTCTTTACTGTCTCTCGTAACATACTGGGTGCGTCACCAAAAATGGACCGTGTAGCCTCGGGATTATACGGAATCCCGGGAATAGGCTTGGGAAGAAGCCTACGGTAGAATCCATATAGGAGCACAGCAGCACCAGCGAGAAGAAACCCGATAGCTGGTGAAAGGTGAACGTTAGAGAAAATCTCTAACACACCACGGGCCTGAGACAACATGGTGGATTAACGCCAAAGAGAGAAATAATCAGTATGAGAAGAAAAGAAAGGTGAATCGTGAGGCGAAATAGAAACAACTTCGCACGAGCCCAATTCTTCAGAATTGCAAGAATATAGAATACTAGGCAAGCATATGAACAAGATGCGACAGGGAGCTACAAGCTATCATTTCAAGTACTTTGATATCCAAGTTTTCCTGGAATCTCTTCTAACAAAGGCCTGATCGTAAGATCCTAGTGATACGATTCTAGATTCAGAGACTCAACGGACCGAACTGTTCGGCCGAAAATTACAAGGCATTGGGATGAAGGATGACAACTAGGGACCTAGACGCTAAAATATGACGTTGTAGGATGGCCAGAATTATTACTTATATGCTCGTAGGATTCACCTCTGGGAGTTGTATGCACGTGGCCGGCGCTCGCCAAGGACATGACCGTTGTCCGTTTTAACCGTGTGGGAGTGTGGGGATTCGTCTAGAACCCCTAACATGGCAGAGAAGCCCCTTGGACGAAGGGTTAGATTACCTAAGTACCTCTCATCATACGAAACTTACCACACTACTAAGCACAACATCCCGAAGTTTCTACGTTAGGTAGCTATTTACATGATCAGTTACATGATAGGATCGAAATGAGGCTGAAAAGAATAGCAAAATCAGGATCATTTTTGCATATTAAATGCACATCACGTATCACGATTCCTATAAGTTATGACTTGCGCTCACGTATGGAGGCCTGTCCCTGTTGATCTTATTGTCCTAGTCATCCTAAGTGTCTGCCGCGCGGTTCCTTCTATAAAATCCACCGGCTTCTGTGCCTCTTTCGTAGCCTTGCCCGGAAACTGGGAGTTTCTCCGGCAACGTCCAAGGTCAATTACAGGTTGAAACCGGCGGATTCTAAGTTCCAAGGTTGGATGCGGGTGGGAATCTTTGCGGCACTCGATCTGTACCAAACCGCTTTGCCTAATCTCGTCATACATAACTACTTATAGGTAGCCTTTTATTCATAGTAGGTACCCGAGGTACCTCTTACGTAGGACATGATGCGCGTACATACCGTATGTACGTACCTAAGGTACATATAATATGTAATCATACCTAGGTAGGTAGGTATTGGTCGGTATTTTGTGTCTAAGCATGCTGCATGCAAGGTAGGTATATGTAATGCAAGCTCCATGTACAATGCGATTCCGACTTTCGGAATCGGGTGGGACCCTTACGTTAGCAGTGCCTGGATAAGCTGTGTTCTGGAACGGGCCACAAACGCACTATGAAATGACTAAGAGCTCGTATCTACGTTGTTATCTGCAGGGCGCAGTGTATGTAAGCAGGCATATTTTGGCGCTGACAGTTGTGCGGAGTAAGCATCCTATTGGCCCATATGTCCAAGCTGAATGTAAGATGGGGCGAACTCGTAATGCGGCTCCTGCAGGAACCTGCAAGCCCTAACGATCTCATGGAATTTACGGTTTACATGGGACCCCAGCTTGCTAGCGCTTGCTTGGCATAACCTTGAACAGTGGGTACAAGCCAGTGTCTTTCCACGTGTATCCACATATCCTAGAACATTAGCATGCGGGGGTGAGGGTGATGTCGAGGTAAACGCCTGATAAGTCATTCTGGGACACCACAAAAGAGGACCACCGCGTGGATAACCTACGCGAATGCGAAGCTCACGGAGGAAGAGGGAGAAAAGATAACTTAGTAAGCTCACGTCAAATGGGAACACTTTACCCGAAACGAATTCATCCAGCAGTTCCATTCGATCAATCGAGATATTTACAAAGCGGGGGTTTTTCTACGTACACTTATCGGGATAACTATTACCTAATTAGGAAAGAATACGTAAATCCACAACCTAGGCATTGCCTTATAGGTACTGAGGTAGGTAGCATTATAGGATTTTGAGATTCGTTAACTAAGGTAAATGCCACGCGAGAGTAGTCCCACGTTTAATAAATCAATCAGGTTTTTTTCTATTTTCGTCGTATTGATCAAACGTGCTTACCTACACGCATCGGTACCTAATATACCTTAGGTAGGTAGGTTAGGTATCTAAGCTTAACACGAGTGAGAATCAGCATTATACGGAGTTAACTATCGGCACAGAATAATCGATGAAGAGGAGGTAATAAGATGTTGTGAATCAAAGATATAATTGTCGTATCACTTGTTATCTAACCCTCTATTTTAGAGTCTAAAGTCAGATAGTCTAGCTTCTAGGTAGAATAGTATACAATTAAAAGTGGTCAATCCCCATATCGACATTGCTTAGCGATAAATTAAAATCAGCCTCAGAAATCCCTATGATTGATGACCAATTCATGTCATCGCTCATCAGATCCATATCCGCGTGCGGCATCTCAAACTTTCCCATCATCGGACCACTGCTTGCCGTTATGACGTGCGTCACGGATGAAGATGACGGGGTGCCTAAGGTATCATCATCTGGCGTGCTACACTCTCCTATACGTTCTAGAAGTTTTCCTAGAGTCCTAGCCCCAGCTTCCGCCATCGCGTTGAGATCTGCTAGCATCTGTAATCGACCGTGCGCTTCCCGTATAGCTTCAACACACCTAGCTTGGCTGATATCCAGAGGTCGAGTTGCCAGGGGATCAACTAGGCGGAAGAAAGCAGGAAATCCCGGCCCGTCGTCGTCCATGCCTATTTGCGTACCTGACTCCCCATCTTCGCTGTGGTCGGGTCCGCCGACTAAGCAGAGACAAGAGAGGAGGACTGCCGCTTCGAACGTATGGAAAATTATGTCGAATAAGCGCGTATGCGTGGCACCTAATAACCAATGAAGTGTCGTGATAGCGTCGAGCATATTTAGTGCTGCTCTTGTTAAACTCCTCCTCTGATGTTGAAGAATTGCCTGCTTATATTTAGGAAGATCGGCGATCTGGCTCGGCTCTAGGCCAAGCAGCGGTTTAAAATTGTTGCAGACGGAATTGTATATTGCAACGTGAAAGAGTTGCCGCTGTCGTCCTAAATTCGGAATGCCCATATCCCATTCCTTATTCGGGTCCAAAGCAAACGGGGCGGGAATATTCGTGATAAACTCAGCGCAAAATCTTTCGTAACGCTCCTCTGCGGCGCTGGGGTCGTATGATACCGAGCTATTTCTAGTACCGATAAAGTCGTTCCAAAATCGTGCCAATCGGGCTTGTAAGATCCGCTCCATAAACGCCTCCGGAGCGCCACTCTTTTCGAGATCCTGGATCTGATGTACCTTTGGTAAGCTCGTGGTACAAAACCCGTCAGAAAGGAACGGAAGGCGCTCGAGAGAGCTTGATAGGCGCCTATCAGTCAACGGTCAGCATTGTTGTGATTTTGAGAGTGTCAGAGATTCTGTTCCAGAAGATACTCACGCGTCCCAAATATAAAGATTGCAAAATATCCGCCGCCTCATCTCACGCTCGAATTCATCCATCACTTGCGAAGCAGTCCCGGTAGGTTCTCTATGAATTCCAATCATCTGAGCAACCCCGATAGCAGAGCCGAACGTCGCCCACGAGAGCTTGATATTACCTTCGCACTGCTGGTTGAGAGCGGCAAAACAAAGGTGCTGCACTCGAATTAAGGAGCCCGTCGTGTCTGCCTGTGCGCATATCTTCTCTAGCACCTGTGCTATCCGATTGCATTGAGATCGTATCTCAGTCAAAGAGACGCCGCGAATCATATCAGCCGTGTGAGATGGCGAAGGAAGGAACTGCGAGCAGTACGCGCTAATACGCAAGACTAGAACGGCAAATTCCACGTCTAGCAATCTGGTTATGGGTCTCCTCGTCCACCAGTCCTCATATTCGGCTAAGAAGCTTGGTGGATGCACGAGCTGATTCATCCAGTTAACCTCGTGTATGAAATATTGGAGGAGAAAGTCCAGAATCGGCCTTGCTGGAATCTTTGCCATCTCATGTTGAGCGGCATCCAAAAGCTCCCCAGTCAAATTTGAATAATTCGATTGCCAAGGTCTCGTCTCTTCGACTTTCAACTACTCCGGTTTAGTTTCTTCAGGTTTTCGAAAAGAAACGATGAAAAGGGGTAAATAATCGAAAGAAGAAACCAACCTGACGTAATAACCCGAGAGTGTTGGAGTCACTGTCGTCGAAATATCCAAAAAGATCTGCGAGAGAAGCTTGCTGGTTGTTTTCGGTCTTCTCCCTCTCCGGCAAGAGTACCGACAGCTGATTAGACTCTACCGGCGGCGCCTCTAACAATCTCTGGCCAGACGGTGCTACATTATCTTGTGCCGTCCCGGAACTCACACTCATCTGCCGGGAGGGACTTAGACGAGGGTTGGATATGTAGGTGCATTCTTCTGGTCGTCGACGCCTGGTGCAGTGATTGCAGGGGTATTGCCGATTGCACTGTCTTGATTAATATCTATATAATTCTACATGAGATGATAACAAAGAGACAGAGGTGTAGCTGTTACCTTCTGCTTTTTCAAATAGCACGGAATGCAGGATGACACGACACGCTGTTTACGCTTTGGGGCTGGTATCATGGTGATGGAGTAATGGAGATAGAGATTGGCGATTTTTTTATATTTTCCTTTTTTTTTTTTAAAAAAAAAAAAAGATCAGCACGAGCTACGTAAAAAAGATCTTAAATCAAAGTATAGGCAGGTATGTATATAGTTGGCATTGTAAGCTATAAGAAACATGCGCATGTAGATACCCCTTCTATCGATATCACGTCCTTTTATGCATATACAGATTCATATTAGCTTATAGACGCAAGCGAGTTTTCGGGACGATCCTGCTGAAACAGTGAGCTACGGGAGTTTACTAAAGATGCCGTTAATCAAGCCTCTCATTTTAGTTGGCCTGTTATTTTAAGGAACTAATGCTGTCATGCGGCACTGCACTTTGGACGTTTATGAGATACTAGCGCTGAAGAGGTTCAACCAATGACAGAAAAGCATGAAAAGTCGACATATGTATAGTATGCATAATTCGTTCACATTTTTATGTGCTCATATTCGTCCTCGATCATTTAAGCTCCCCCCTTTCCCATTCCCCCCAATCTTACCTCCAACGTCTTTCCCCCTTCCGTCTTACCAACAAAGAAGTCCTAGTACAGGTTCTCGAATCGCCTCATAGCTTAGCTTGAAGGCATACCACACCTTTATTACTTTGTAAGCTCGCTAAGTTTCGCAACCATGGGCACCTTTCCTGGATTTCTGTATCGGCAGTTTACCTTCAAGCCCAAGCCGCTGCCTGAGAGCCTGAATCTTAGTGGCAAGACGGCTCTAGTCACGGGCGGAAATGCGGGCCTCGGTTTCGAGGCCGCCAAAGAGCTTACTTCTCACGGCTTGGCTCGAATCATCCTCGGAGTTCGTAGCGTAGCCAAGGGAGAAGAAGCGAAGAAGACGCTTCTCGCCATTAACCCTCAGATAGACGTTCAAGTATGGGCTATTGACCAGGAGTCTTTCGAGAGCATTAAAAACTTCGCCGACCAGGCCACAAGCCTGGATAGGTTAGACGTCGCTATCCTCAACGCCGGCGTGAAGAGCATGGAGTACGTCAAGTCGAAAACGGGCCACGAGCTAAACGTCCAGGTATGGAGCAATCCTTGAAACTGATGGCCCGCGCGAGTCTAACCTCAAATTGGCATATTAGGTTAACCACTTGGGAACCGCTCTCCTATCCCTTCTACTTCTCGGGCCTCTAAAGAGAACCGCCGCGGCAACGGGCTCGCCATCGCGCTTGACTATTGTCAGCTCAGAAAACCACTTCTGGGTAAAGCTCAAGGAGATTAAGGGTCCTGACACGCTAGCCACTATGGATAAGCCGGAGACGTTCGGAAAGGGCATGGACCGGTACAACGCGACCAAGCTGTTAAATGTGCTATGGATGCGCGAGTTGAGCTCCAAGACTGCGGCCTCTGACGTTATAATCGATGCCGTCAACCCGGGATTTTGCCAGAGCACCTTGCACCGTACGGATTCTAGCGGGTCGTCCTTCGCTAATCTGATCGGTTGGACATCGGCTCAAGGAGGACACTGCCTGACGGATGCCGCAACGCAGCACGCCAAAGATGGCCACGGAGCATATCTCAGCGAGCAGAGCGTTAAGAGGTAAGGTTCTTCGGCATATTTACGGAACGAGAAAGGCTAACCGAATATATTATAGTCCCTCTTCTTTTGTCCTTTCGCCGGCCGGACGGAGCGCGCAGACAAAGATCTGGAACGAGACCATTCAGCTACTAAAAGAGGAAGCACCTGGCGTCGACCTACTTGCTCACGTCTAGTCTGAATATCGAAGAGTTTGTGTCACATTAAACATTCTGCATATCGCTCATACCTTTAGCAAGCGAGGTAGGTAACTGGGAGGAGTATCCGGACCAATTGTTTCAAGTTTGATATCTAGGTACCTAGCGAGGTAGTTTAATTTTCTTATCTATTACCTTTTGTAGATTCACCAATAATATCACCTTTTGATTCTTGAAGCTATAATACCAATATAAACACGTTGCACAAAGTTTCGATGTACGTCTAATCAATCGGGGCGGGGCGTTAAAAGCTTCTATTCTTGGTCCTTTTAATACATAGTATGTTGAGTCAATTGATTGGCTGGAATTTTGAGTTTACTCTCCGATGCCAACTAAGAGGTCCTACTATTGTTACGTACCTATATCATGCAAATGGGCCAACGCTGAAATGGGTGGACACAAGAAAATAGAAAATATACAAATATTCTAAACGCAAGCTGCCTAAGTAACATGATGCGAGATACAACCGCGGTACCAAAAGTATATTTCTTATTAGCACAATTGCCATTACCTACAGTCTCTCTGACACATAATTCATCCATCGTTTTTTATGAAGGATGCCTATTAATTCGTGAGAAATTTACCTGAAAGTGTTATTCGCTAGAAATGTAACTTGAAAACGTGCTCAAGGTACTTTGTTATTAAGCTTGTCTCAGATCCGTACCAAGGATTCTAGACCAACAACCAAAACTTGGTATCATGGATTCATGGCGGTTACTTTAATTCTGAGTGGCTGAGATAGAAACTGGACTTTTGCCGAAAATACCCCTGTTTACAGTGCACATTTGCTTAGGCACCTAGGTACCTAAGCACGTTAAGAGGTAAGCATAAGCGGCCGGGGGCCCGCCGTTGTAAGCTCTATACCTAATTCTATTAGGATCATTTTCATTTTAATCTCGAGCGCTATCCTTTCCCCTCAGTACCTAGGTATGTTCATTATCTCAGTGCCAAGACGCACGTTTCGCAGTTTAGAGTAAACTATCTTGACCGTTACATGATCTACCTATGCCAAGGAATGCTAAGAAATGACGGAAACTTTCATAAAATATTCAATTGAATAAATTCTATTGTTACCTATTATTAAGTAATATGCCTGTGTGTTGTCGATGCATAAGGTGACGACTTGGGTAATATAGGTGGTAGGTAGGCTGGTAGGTAGCTTTCCATGTCTTATTCAAACCATAAAAGTTGAATATCAGGTGCAGTGTAAGTCATTAGGGAAGCCTTATTAAAATATGTGGATGAATGGGCAAGTAACATTATATAGGATATAGTGATATTTTAAGCTATTTTCTTCATATGCAAAAGTTGAAGTCTTACAAACTACCTAACGTACCTCGAGCTAGGTACCTAGGTACCTAGGGCTTATCTAGGTAATGTTCCCATATGTAAGTGTACCTGCCTTGTGTAACTACGCGAAGTTTATTATATTATCTTCAGTAATAAGTATGACGTCCAGCTTTCTGTGTCGATGTTATGGTCCGCATCTTCTCATGGCATCAACGATCTTCTAATAACAATTTCGACCTCAATCCTCTACTGCTATAACGATGTCAGAGCCAAAAGTATAGAGACTGTAAGAATTCGTGTAACAGCGTATAAAGAAATGCACACGAGCGCTACTGACCTCCAGAGACGAAGATAAGATCTTGTGAGGTATATATTAAAGTCTTACAGGCTGTGATCAGCTATGGGGATAGAGGCGCAACCAACTGTGCCGACGGCGGTATCGGTTGCGGCCCGCGGGAAAAATGTGATGCTAAGGTCAGGTGTTGAATTGTTCGGCTCAGGGACGTTCGAAGCGGCTTGTCATCCTTACTCAACCTTGAAGGTGTCGAAGGAAGACTTGGCTTCGAATCCAAGCGGATATCGTGAACCATTTCAGGATCTGATGAGTAATAAGATCAATAACTCCTAATTCTGGGGCTAATGCTATAGGAGAGGTATCTCAGTAGGAACGCTGCTTATCTTACTGGTTAGCTAAGATGGAAAGACCTATAGCTTCTAGAAATCTTCGCGGCCCAAGTCAAATAACATGGCGTGGGGGGGGGGGGGGGGGGGGGGGGGGGGGGGGGGGGGGGGGGGGGGGGGGGGGC